CGCAAAGGCGCTCGGCCGCTTGCAAGTACTGACAGCACGTCAAGCGATACACAGTGGTATGCAGTTGTAATAGGATCTATTTTGCAATAAAAATGTGTAGTCTGATGTGCTGTAGTCTTTACTTCTCAGTCTCGGCGAACTCCTATGTGATGTGTTCGATCTCCTCTTTCTCTGACCATACCAGCGATCGACTAACTACTTACCAGCAGGATAGGGGCGTCGAAGTTACAATAACATCGCTTTACCGTCGGATAAGTATAACAACTAGTACCTACAATGTTGCAAAGCCCTTATAGGGCTATGTTTCGGGACTCTGTATTATATTTAAGATCCAAATGTACCAACATGATGCAATAAACATGCTGACTATGACTAAGAGTGACGAAGTTAAAATAATATCACTTACCAGCAACGTAGGGGTGACGAAGGTAAGGCAGGGGTTCTCCATCCCCCCATAAGGGAAGGAAGGCGGTAGCACCAGCAAATCGTACTGCGACCATACGTAAGGCCCGCAAAGGCGCTCAGCCGCTTGCAAGTACTTCTCAGTTTCGGCAAACTCCCAGGCGCTTCGCTCGATCTCTTCTTTCTCTGACCATACTAGTGACCTAAAAAGATAATATCGTTAGTTTTAGCTAAAAGACGTCCACTACTGGACAAGGGAAGGTGGATTGATTGGGTTAGTATCCATAGATCGCTGCTTAATATCCGGATCGAAGGATCAAAACGTAAGGAAACGACGCAATGGGAGCAATGGACTGTATAAGGTTGAATCTAAGTTATTACAGTTTATGGTGGGTTAAGTAAATAGGAGTTGGATACTCCTATGTCACTGGTTCATATCCCGCTCGAAGGTCCAAAATTTAGAGTTTTGAAGCCGGGGCAATCGAGGATGCCCAACCCTATACATTATATTATTCTATCTTCTCACCTGGGCCCTAGAGACCTAGACTCCAGCACGCCTACAGCTACAGCCAATAAGTACGAAGGAATCGGCACCGGCTGCCAGAAGGACGTCTTGCCTCCACGGCTGTCTCCTGGCAGAGCGCTCATGAGAACAGTGAACTCCTCGGGCGCGGTCACATCGCCATAAACATAGGTTGCTGGTTCATATCCGGCTCGAAGGACCATAGCCATTCGTTCTCCGTCCACTGTCACTAAAGTTGTGCAATTTTAAACCTTCTTACCTGGGCCCTAGAGACCTAGACTCCAGCACGCCTACAGCTACAGCCAATAAGTACGAAGGAATCGGCACCGGCTGCCGGAAGGACGTCTTGCCTCCACGGCTGTCTCCTCGCAGAGCGCTCATAAGAACAGTGAACTCCTCGGGCGCGGTCACCTCCGCGTCATACGTAAACTTGACAGCTGGAGTATCTTGGCAGGGGAGGATGGAGCGCGCGTGGATCGGCTGTTAATGAAAAATATAATGATTCTTTTTGGATGAAAAAAGGTGATTGCCCTGCTTATAGGTCGCGCAACGAGAGTTAATCAACACAAGTAGAAATTATGTGTAGTGTTTTCTATCTCACTTGCAGAAAATTTTAACAACAAGAGTGTGAAAAGCTAGTGTATAACTTGAATGTGTAATATAATGTAACTTTTTCTGTATTCAAACAACATCAGTGTGAGTTACATATTCGCCTCAACTTTCATTGAGCGACCTATAGCTGTATTGTAGGTTTACAAAGATTAGTCATAAAAGTATCCATAAAAGAGAAACAGTAGACATAATTAAGAAATAAACTAATTTTTTTTACCTGGCACTGACTGAAAAGGTAAGGGTGCTTTTTGCCTGATGTCTGATTGGGATCCAGCCATTGCAGGGCCGACGCCGTGGGCGAAGTCTTATACTTTATACTTATTTTTAACCTGAAAATACAGAATCACTATAATAAGTGCCATACATACAAATACCTCAAGTTATACTACAATTTTATAACATAATCAAGCAAAAATAATTCTATTTCTAATGTCTATAGGACTACTATAGATATTTATCATTTCTAACAGATCTCCAGCCAAGTCCACTCCACCGCACAGACCAGTCTGGCAACATTTGCAGTTCCGTTCAAACTCTTGAGGATCAACGAGGTCCGGTTTGTACATGAACCCGTTGAAAGTCAGCGGCAGAGTACCATCAGACGACAATGTCTTCATAACCACACCGCAAACATTATCAACGTCTTCGTTTACATTATTTTTGCCACCTTTTCTTTTCATAAGAAACAGAAATTATTTGTGCTTGATTATACTATACCACATTAATTAATTGAAGTTCAAAGTTATTTCTTTTATGATAATTACAACTTACTTTTCTCCACTTATTGCTTGTTTCGGTAAAGTTATAGTTAGTTTGGATCCGAAATTGGGAATGGGATCGCTTAAATTATACTTCAACTGGGTTCCATCAGCTAATTCCACTGACTCTATGCTTAGATTACTTACATCTAGAATCTGAAAAGTAAATTAAATTATGTTCAATACCTAAATATTTTATCTAATAGAATAACATATAAAGGCAACACATTAAGCTAAACAGTATAGTATCTTATTCGGTTATAATAGGTGCTATTATTCAATGTAAAGGACAATGACCAAAAGTGGTCCAAATGATGGATAGAATGATATCAAGAACATTTTTCGGATGAAAAGGTAAAAAACATGACTTTTCATTCAGTCATAACTTTTTACTGACAGCATATTTTTGATTGCGTTATAATTAATCAGTATTTAGTAGACTATTTTACTACATAGGTCTCGTTAGTGGTGGACATTTGGACCACACTCCATACACTTTTGGTCATTGTCCTTTCAGTCAGTCCACTTTATTGTCACAGTAGGCGTTTAGAATCGACAAGGTCTGTTTTTAGGTCAGTTAGTGAAAGCTGTATTGAAACATGATTACATAAGTTTGTGATTTGTGCATAGTACCTATGTGGAATTCTGAAGACTATTTTAGTCCTTGATAAGTTGTTGTGTGGCTTATTCAAGTGATAGTTGAGCTTATCTCAGTTTTTGAGTATCGTCTCTTCTTATTTATCTGAACTACTTGAGTTCAGATAAACTAGTGATAGTGACATTATGAAACCTGTCTTTCAAATGTCATCCATTTAATATTATTATCATTGTTATTGATGTATGAGGATAAGATGATTTAGAAACATTAGACAATCATGTTGTATTTTGTGCATATTATTTAGAATTAAGTTTTTCTATAGCAGAGAGACTAATAATGTACAAGCTTCTTAACTACTCTGAAGTACACCATATTTTCACTACTTAAAGATTTAATTTGAAATGACAAAATGTCTTCAACAAAATGTAAGTAACTATTAAATAGGATAGTCATAGAAAATAAAAAAGAAGAAAAATACATAAGAATAAAATACTTCTTACCACTTCTTCACTGTCTTCTAACACGTCAAACTTGAGAGAAGCCAGTCCACTTAAGACTTTATTCTCGAAGTCCACATTCAGAGAAAGCGACACATGTCTTACTATCGCCAGCTCTGCAAAGTATGTTAAATGTTACATAAATACCAAACGTCAAAATATTATTATTTATGAATTAATTATAACAGAAACTTTACCAGGACGGGAAAAAGATGAAGGATCCTGAGGACTCAAGGCACCCATTGCTTTAATTGAGCTGCAATAATTCAGTAATGTTAAAATTAAACATAAAAATATACTCTGCCTACCCATTGTGATAGATTTCGATACATGTAACACCAACGAGATTCAACAAAACACTGATTAGGAAATAGCCAATTGTAACTTTATATTGAATGGATAGATTGGGTCGGTTGTTGAAACAGAGTAGGTATAGTGTAGGTAGCAACAGATGACTTGAATCAATTTTCAGGAGATAAAATATAGAAGATAAATCAGTACATCAATTAAACAATGATCATTATTTGTAGAAGTTTGTAAAGCGACAAAGATGTGACATTTCGCCTTTATTTGGATTCTAATTTTAAATGTATTCGTAAATAATATATTCTAACCTCAAACTTACCAAATAAATAAACGAAGGCACAATAAATATAGTTTTCGCTTCTTTCGAAGAATAGAATAGTTAAATTGCCACGTCGTTGAGGAAAAGATTTATCAATAAATCACAAATCAAATGTTTGTCCTCGACGATGACGGTGTCCCCCGCGACAGATTACAACAGTCATTCTTGTTTCAGCGTTTTATTTCTTCGCGCTTTACGTTTAAGCAAATAATTACTAAATTGATTTAAATCTATTTAAATTCATATTAAAACAGTATTTAGACAACTCTATAATAAGTTATAATATGATCTAGAAAATGTGTTTTAACACCTAAAAGTAATTTACACAACTAACCTGTTTTGTGCTGAAAACTTTGTGAAATTCTGAGAAAAACTCAATAAACTTTTGTTGTAGGTAACAAGGAGCGAACAATTAAGCTTTGTTAGAAGAGTTGCACATCCCCTTTTGTTTGTATTTATTGCTGAAAAACGCGAACTGTGACGAAAAACCCGCGCAAGCAATTTACCGGAGAAAGACATTTTTACGTTCCATTTCACAAAAAATATGACACAGGAGAATGTGATGTGATGGACAATAATATATTTTATGTGTAGTGATCGAATCAATTCTGAAAATTTAATGATAATATTAAAAACAATGATTTGAAATCCTTTGTATAATATTAATGTAGATATTTAGCACAAATTCAAAATATTTCACTTGGTTTGTGCAAATGATACATGCGCGTAATGGACAACACCGAAAAAAAGTGTAGAATAAAAATCGGATACATAACAGCACAGCCAAAAAATTTATTTATTTTTTATTATAATGGATAATATTTAAAAGGTTTATATTAAGTTTTAAAATAAGTGTGGAACATTTTAATAAGTGACTTTTTATTGTCTAATACAAAAGCAATTGTTATCCATTCATTAAAAATAAATACTTATAATTGACATTTCATTTAATATGACCGATGTGAGTGAACGTGTGTGTATCCGAAAAAAATATTCATGTTTTTGCGGATGGATTGGACACTTTTCCGCTGTCCAATATTTTATTTAGTTTTATTGTAAAAATGGATTAAAGCCATTGACGCCGTAAATAACTTCGTCGCTGAGCGTTCCAGTTGTGCTCATTAAAATAATTTATGAAGTTTTAACTGTGAAGTATTAAATGTTTGTGTAAACATGTTGTCGAGATTCCACCATTACCATGGCTCGAATATAATTTTATTTGAAGAAAATACGGTTGCTTACCGTAAAGCAAGCTTTGCTCATGGCCTGACCTTCAGTGAAAAGCCTCTGCTTCCCGGGGAAATATTCTTAGTAGAGATAGAAAAAACGGAGCGCGGATGGAGCGGTCATATGCGGCTCGGTTTGACCCTGTTAGATCCTCAGACCGCAGCTCTTGGTGATAAAGGTCTGCCACAGTATGCTTTGCCCGATCTAGCGAATACTGGAATGTCATGGATATTCCCTATCTCGAAATCGCAGAACAATGTTCTCATTGAGCTTGTGAATCAGGGTGCTAGTGGAAGACGAGAGAGTGAGCCTCGCGTCTCCGTGCTGGGGGATGGCCATAGTGTTAGGACTCCCCGTGGTTACATTTCAAAGAGTATCCTAAAGCCACAAATACCTACCCAGAATGGGACACCGCAAGGCATTCTACCAATGGATGCAGGCAGCCGCATTGGTGTGATGTTTGTTCCGTGTCCTAAAACGAGCCGGGACGAGAATGATATGGCCGAAATGCACTTTATAATCAATGGTGAAGACCAGGGACCTTGTACGAAAACTATTCCTTACAAAAGAGGCCCTTTGCATGCTGTTGTTGATGTTTATGGGACTACCAAGCAAGTTAAGATAGTTCAACTTTATGGAGGTAATTACCTATATCATTTAAATTTTTTGAACTTTAATAAGTACCTAAGATTAGTCTGTTTTAACTAATGAATGCTTTATAACACACTATTAAATGTAGATTCATTCAAGAAAGGAAATGTTTAGTGAATTATTGAATATGGAAAACAGTCAGTAAGTTGTTTTTTGTTTCAGTGAAAACGCTACAGAATGTGTGCAGGGATGCAATCCTACAATACGTCAAGGACAAACCTAGTTCAGTGAAAGCGTTACCTTTGCCAAAATGTTTGAAGGACTTTCTACTCTCTTAGACGTTTTAAGTCCGGGTTACGGAGATGACAATAATCAAGTGAGTGGACCTCATGAATTGTAATCTTTTTGAATGGTTGAGTGATATTTTAACAGTAAGGCTGGTTTTAGAATCACGCTGACGCACGCTGACCGTCAGCGCTGAGAGTCGAAATGTATGAAGCGTCGGCGCCAAACGATCAGCGTCAATCAGGAACGTTCCCTTCAATTACATCAGTGGTTCCCAAACTTATTTAGTCTACTGCCCACTTTGAGAATAAATTATTTTTTAGTGCCCCCATTTTTGTAGTCAAGAGTCGAGCTCAGTCGGTGTCTAAGAGATGACGCCACCCAAGCCTCTACACAACGTCCCGATTTTTTTTCTGGGTCTCTTACCCTTTAAGCCTGCAGCGCCCACAAGGGGGTGTTATCGTCCACTTTGGGAAAGACTGAATTACATACATATTGAACTGTCAGCGCTGACGATCAGCGAGGGGTCAGCGCGACTCCAAAACCAGCCTTAATATAGCTAGTTATAAAGATCTTGTTATAATTGCAATATTTCTTTGTTTACAAGGTTATGTATAGGGCAATTCTGATTACACTTGGAGGTTGAGAGTGAGAGCTAGCATATCACTCTTTTGTATATTTATCTTTGTTGATACGAGTAAGAAAGGATGAAGTAAATGTACTTTTTATAGTAAAATGTACATAATGTTTTGAAAAAATGGATTTCCAAAGGTGATAACTGATTTTTATATTTTAAATAACAATTATGGCCCTTCTTGTTGACTTATATGATAGAAATACATTACTAGATTACCATTATAATGAAATAATTTGAAATTATTATTTCTTCAATTGAAAATTCATATAATATAGGTAATTACATAGCTTGTAATTCTTGTGATTTCTGATCTGATTGTAAATTGTACATAATATGGAAAATAGAAGTAATGTTTTGGAAATCACTGTAGAATAACATTCACTCACATTGCTCTGAGAATGGAAATGGAAGGCATTTTTCTGGTACTATATTTGCTGATGGTAAATATTTTATTTAATATTAAAAAAAACTATCGTCAATTTAATTCTTCATTATTTCAAGCTTAATGATGTATTTTGTGATATTTTTTTTCTATTTTCATTCCATTAAAAATGTGTAATTTATTTGTTTGTAAAAAGTATGTTGATTATGTGGTTATTCAATGATATTGTTGATATGTATAGTATAGTAATGAAAAATAGATTTGGTTAAAGCCAAGCTTGAGCTTATGTTGAATTAAGTCTTATTTATACCGGATACTTCATAATATTCATTGAATGAAATATTCATTTTTAAAGAACAATCGTTTTTCAGCTCTCTTCTACTATAATTTCTTATTGCATACCTATCTACGTCCTCAATGTTAGATCAACACCAGCAAATCCCACTAAATTAAAATTAAACGGTTACTTAGGTATTTGCGATGGCTTGTAAATGTAAATAAGAACCAAATTTATTTATTATTGAATAAATAAAATTATTTTGCTTATTACTTTAACTGTTTTATTGGAAAACTTAAAATAAAAAATAACATAAACCTTTTCTTCTTAAAATATTAAATTATAATCTATCTTTCCAAGTCTCTAGGCAAAGGGAGGGTGAAAGGTACTATTTTAGATTTTTGTAGATCAAAATCCTTGTAGTCCAGTAAATTGTCTGCCTCAATGTGATCGGCCCAGAAGTCTTCTAGCTTCGGATTCAGCACCCCCTTCCAATGCTGAAAGAAAAAGTCCAATTAATGTAACTAAAGGTTTAAAAATTGACTTTAAACATAACTTTTAATTAAGATTGGGGAAATCTTAAGGTGTAGGTTAATTTGTCTTGGGTTTTTTTTGTGACCCAAACAGCCATTTCCCATAGTTGCGCACATATCTACGTATTGAAATAATTTTACTTTTTTAATAGAATAAAAAATTGCAGCGTTAACATCAAACAGGGTCGATTATTTGATCCCACAGTGTAATTAATCGTGTGTTGACCTCCAGTAAATCAACGTGTAGGGTCAGCTGTATGACGAATGCCCGTCAACCCACTTATTGCAGATTAAATCTCGCACACAATTGAAGTGGGAGTGTAGGCGCGAAAATCACAAGCATTTATGTTAGTTGTGAATAAAAAGTAACTGTAGTCATGTTATTGTATGAACTTTAGACACTTGTCTCAATTTATCAGTTGCCTTGTGGATGTTCTTTAACAGTCGTTTTATTGGTTCTTCCGACCTCTGCATGACTCCAGAGTTATCACTTTTTAAGCAAGACTATTTTATAATGTAGCCCAATTAGCACACACTAGTATCAGTCTTAGACATCTCTATATCGTCTCGCTGGTCCACTGAAAGAAATCTCTTTACAGGGATAAGCTCAATTTCTTGTCTTTTTTCATTGATCCTTTCTTTGCCAAAGATCAAGTGGTATGAGAAGATAGGTCGGTGTTCAGTTATTCTTTCAAAGTATCGGAGACTTCCAAAGTCGTCCCACGGTCCCACAAATATTCAAAATTCTCTTCAAGTATGAAAACCATACTTGGTTGAATGAATTCACTCACATTGCGAGTATGTTCGGTCCATATCAGCAGCGTTCCATGCGAGTACTGTTTGGACAGTTCCATTGCTTTGTTCAGGTAGCTGTAACCGCGCACCCTCTTGCCTTGTACGTAGTTGAAGTACGCAAGCAACAAGAAATACCTGAAATTACGTCAGAAGTTTTAAAAAAACATGACGGAAACGGGAAATGGATCATCAGTCAAGTAAGGATTTGCCACACTGGATGCGGTCTGCGGTTCTGCGGTCAGGTCAAAGTGAACGCAGCCCGCATCATTTATGAATAACATTGTCGATCAGGGCAACGCGGCAACGGTCAGCAGTTTGGGCAAAACAAATCTGTCAGACTATTTACGAGATCGAATCAGAAATGAGGTGATCCGTAAACGAACTAAAGTCGCTGACATAGCCCAACGGATTAGCAAGCTGAAGTGGCAATGGATAGGGCATACTTATAGTACGCAGAACTGGCGGCCGATGGGGCAGCAAGGTTCTGGAGTGGAGGCCACGTACCGGAAAGCGCAGCGTAGGACGTCCACCCACAAGGAGGACCGACGACCTTATAAAGGTAGCGGGAAGGCGCTGGATGCAGGCCGCCACCAACCGGCCATTGTGGAAATCATTGGGGGAGGCCTATGTTCAGCAGTGGACGTCCTATGACTGAAATGATGATGATGAATCTGTCAGACCAGGCGATTGCCTGACAGATTTGTCAGCATTGCTGTTTGCGTTCTTTCCTCGTGCTCGCACGCTCACTCAAATCACATCAATACGAAAAGTACAGAGAACAATAATGTTGTTTATACATGATGCAGGGTGCGTTCACTTTGACCTGACCGCAGATCGCAGAACGCATTCAGTGTGGCAAATCCTTTATTGTTCCGGACTGACAATTGCTCACACTTAGTCGTAGGCGGCATCCGCTGTTAATGCTACACCATTTTGTAGTTTACAGTTTTAAGAGAGAGTATAGTATTCGAGAGGTAATGAAACCCACGGTTTAACGGTAAAACGTAATGTAGCTTGGCCGATTATGATCCAATCGAATTCCGTTACGTTTGAGTAAACGAGATATAGTTCCAAAAAGTGATTTAGTTACTTTTGAAACTTGTAAATAGTGGTGTCGGCCGGTAAGGCCCTTATGTCCCGTATTTTGAAATGAGCCAAATGTCGAATAAAGTAGAACGATCGATTTATTCTTCATCGGTTTTAAAATACGAAAGCAAGGGCCAGCCTAAGGCCCTTTCCACATGTCCCGGTTGCCGGCTAACCGGCGCCGGGTACCCGGTGGTGAAGTGTATGAGCATGGTACGTAGCTTTCACATGTACCGGCGTAATTCATCCGGCATGCCCATACACTTCACCACCGGGTACCCGGCGCCGGTTAGCTGGCAACCGGGACATGTGAAAAGGGCCTAACTGCCAGATATCTCCATCCAAGGTCTGTGGAATAGAACCAAATAAGACTAATCGCACTTTATCAGCAAGTGGTGAAACTAGCTAGCCCTATCTTGTAGTCGTCGTGGCCTAGCCTAGCGTTGGTACTTCGTTCGTTCGTTTCAGCCAAAAGACGTCCACTGCTTGACAAAGGCCTCCCCAGCGTAGGTACTTAATATCCTTCAATGTTATTAAAACTTTTCTACCTTGGCCGGTACATGGGCGTATGACGGCACGTATCGTTCATATCTTGAAATATCCCTTTCACTGTCTTCTCTAGAAGCAGTACCTTCTTTATGTTTCTATTATCCATCTGCAATTAATTTCAACGCATGTAAATGATATTCGAGGCGGGTTTCTATTGCGCGGGGATCGAACCCGCGACCTGTGGCGTAGGTAGGAGCCTTCATTTTTCAAATATTATGTCTTATTGCCCGTCCGAAAAAAGGCTGTAAAGAACTCTAGCATGCCCATAGGTAATTGCTTTACCTCTTTCGTAGATTATAAAATGTTTTATTTTACATTTATAGCTAAAAAAGGGTTCCAATATCGCTTGATCCAAACTCCCTAATATAGCGCGATTCAAATTCATAAAATAGCTTATTTTACGATCAACCTCGAGCTCTCGACCTACATCTCAAGAATTTATGGTCAATGAAGTAATTTTTTCACACGGGTTGACTGTAAAGGACCCTGAAATACCTCGGCTATTAAATTACCAACTTAAAAGGCACAGAAATTCTGAATGCCACAAAATAATTGCCCAGACTGCTTCATTCATTGCATTCATTTGCTGATTCTTTCCAACTTGAAAATGTGTACGAACCTCATTATGGGGTTTTAGAATACCAACGATCATATTTCTATTGTTTTCTAAAGAACTTTTTACTCACCATCCACTATTTGTGGATTGCCATCGAACTAAGAAAAAAATATGTTTCAGATTCGTTCAGCATCATAATATAATTATAACTATAGTCCGGTCGGCGATCACGTAGAATTTCGTCCAATGACCCCCTCGTCATGGACGAAATTCTGGGTGATCGGCGACCAGACTTTACGCATTTATGCATTTTGCTACTACTGAACTGACCTCCTTGACCAAAGTAATGAGCAGCCCTTCGACCAACCGCACCAGGATCATGATGTTGAACTCGTGCTTCTCAAACTTCATAGACAGGAGTTGTTTTATCTTTTCCTCCCATAGAATTGATCTCTCCCATGTCCCAACGCGTATAGTTCTGTACAAAATATTAGGTACATTTTATAAACGAAATAAAGACTCGCGAAACCCTCACTTTTTTTTTATTATTAGCAATTTGTATTGCACAAATTACTAATAGTCCCGTTAGCCCCACGTGTTAAACTAATTATGCTTGTGTTACGAGTGGGCTCACCACAATAGTCGAGAAGCGGTGGGATTCGAACCCACGTTCCTCGGATCTGAGTTGGCCAGTCCGACCCCTTCACCGTTAGGCTATCGTGGCTATTATCTTTCACGGTTATTGAGGAACCATACTAATAATAGCTTATTTAGCTTATTTTGTGCAATATAATGTTATCTTACATTAGCCACATGCACACGAAGAAGTTCCACGCAGCCTCTGGAGTTTTAGACCTGAGGATGGCGTCTCCTTTCTTGATATAGAAACGCTCGCAAGAGGCATATGACTCCACGCAGTAGCCCGTGTCCAGCATTATTACCATCGCGTAGAAGTAGTACCAGGTTTCCGCTGAGGGAGTGCGAAAGTAAATAAATTTGGTCAACATTTTGTACTGAAGAGAAGCACTGAATTTAAACTCTACCGGTTACAAGCTTGAAACTATGCTTGGTGTTTGGATTGCAGAAAGGCCCTACTTGACTGAATGACCTCGATGGGACATCAAAAATAGAAACGCTACGACTTAAAAAGTCAGAAAAAATGTCGCTATACAACACCATCATCACGCACTACTACCACAGAATAATAATAAGTACTACGTACTACTACTACAACTGATTAAAATATTTACAGAGCATTGTGTCTTACAGCTCAAATCGTAATGGTCATTCATGTAGAAGAACTCCCGCATAATCCTGACCATATCGTGTATGCGAAGGTCTGAGAGCAGAAGCTTCAGCATCCATAGGATCAGCATCTGCCTCGTGGTCAGATCGGTCAAGCTGGACATCATGTGCATCACGGATAACCCAAACTCCAGGCTTTCCACCTTCTTGCCGTGTTCTACGCTGCAATTCAATCGGTATTCTTAAACTTGACCGATCGAAAACCTAATTTCGGAAATATAACTTAAAAAAAAAATAATAAAAGGAAAACTGTACTAACTAAAATAGGAATATGCTGGTGTAGAGGTAGCAAACTGCGTGGACCTCGGTCACGTCCAACTGCCCCCTCTTGCGGTGGCATAGTTCCATGGCGCGCTTCTCTAGTTTCACGCAAATGGAGAACTAAAACGACAGGAATCTCAATGATCTTTTTAATAGTTTGACGATATGGCGACACCTATCGACTCGCCGCGATTCGCTCGAGGTGGAACTCATCTCTTAACAGATGGCGCTGATGCAAGCTTACTACGGCACTTGCCTCCGCGCCTACAAACTTGCATTGCATTCCACCGATTCCTTGAAAGAGTTAGGCTATGATATAGATTTGTCACTGAATCGTACCTTCTGTGTCTGACGATAAGTCGCAATCATATTGCCGTAACTGATGCAAAGGACCCGAAAGTTTGCGTTAGTCCGAAGAGCGTAGTTCAACGACAACTTCGCGGCCAACGTTGCACTTTCCATTTCTTTGGCTTCCTAAACAGAGCAGTAAAACATTTAACTAACCAATATCAGAACAAACCAAGCATGAAATTTCTCCAGTAATAATAGAGTTTGATCTTACGGAAAACAATCTGTACAGAATGTTATAGGTTCTGGCGATATCGTCAAAGAAATAGCCAACAATTCCTCGTTCAATGCCAACATAGAGATTCGATGCAACATACAAGGCCAAGATTTGCCTGATCGAAGCTGTCATATTGCGACACCTTACTGAATGCCTGGAAATTCAAAAAGACGATAATAATTCCAAATATTAAGAAGAGCAGAGATTGTTATGTTGGATATAGTGTTACTTAGAAGTTGGGAAAGGATCATAATAGAGCTTCATGGCATAGAACAGCTGGTTTCTGGCTTCGTTCAGGTCCCCAGACTCAAGCATGCATATTCCTCGCAGAGTGTACACGCTGGCCAAGCGAAAGTCTTTCATCCAACCAGATTGGCACTTATTGTGGTTGATCTTGTCACTCTGGATCAGAAATTAACGCTGTTATAATTCCTGAAGCATTTTTTTACGATATAACAGTAAAAAGTGGGAAACTAGATCATGTACCTTCACAAATGCTTCTACTTCAAACAGTAATCGTACAGCTTGGGGTATGTTTAGGTTCATAATGCTCACGTCGGCATACTCCATGTACGCTTCAAAAAGCTTTTCGTATTCTCCTGCAAAATATTGAAACAATTGAGGGTAGATTAGGTGACATAAGAACACAAATTCAGCAGACTTAACAAGGGGAGAATCTCAGTAGTCAGGACCTCTGTTCTCTTCTTTTTTTCATGTTAATATTGTAATTGATTTTTTTATAAAAAGAGGAATTATCTTAAGGGTGCTATATTTTACCTGCTCCTCGGCAATGGTCTAGCATTTGGTTGTAAACCGCCAGCAGTATAGACAGGCATTCACATGACGCTATCTCCAGAGAAGAAAAAGATCGTACATGTTTTTGCTTTTGGTTTATCAAAAGCGAGCGACTGAGGTTTCTTCTCTCTGAAAATCAGAAGACATTTATTGTATAAGAGCATGCGAACTTCATCTGATGTTACGCGACCACCACACCACCGCCAAACTTAAACAACATGAGTATTGGATATTGCTTTTAATATGCTGACGAATACCTTCTAAGTCCAAGGAATCGTAACTTGAGACAATTTCAGGAGGAATACTCATGCTGCCGTTCATCTGAGAACAAAAAATCCGTGAAGAATCGCAGCCATTGCAAAGTCCTTTTATCCTATACAGCAGATACCATTCACGATTTAACAAGTAAATGTGACATTGACATACCACCATCTCGGGTACATGTTGAACAAACGGTGAGACCGGTTCTTCTTCACCAGGCACTCTGGTTTCGGCACTCAGAGATCTTATTTGTTGCTTCGTGCGCTTCACGTCTTGACTTTCAGGCACAAGACCCTGATATGAGAAAAAAATATAAATTACCACCGTGAAAGAGGAGGATAGCCTAAAAAATATGAGGAACACTAACATCGTCACATCTCTGTCCCAATAACTTGGTGAAACATCCCATGCCGCACGATATGCAGCGCTTGGTATACCGCTCCAGGTATAGCAAAGCTCTTGCATGCATTTCGCTCTGAATCAGGATAAAGCGACATTTTAAAGAATAATGGATAAATAAAAAACGTCCTTTGTTTTAGCTCCACAATGCCTGTAGAAAATTACCTTCTGATTCTCAGTGAGCAGCTCGTAAGTGGTGGTTCGGAATAAGGAATGCCTGAACTTCATGTAACCGCAAAATGCGTATATTGGCAGGTCTCGGCAATTTGCTAAAAAATAATCAAAATTTGAAAAGGAAAAGCCAACGAACACCTATGCGTAATACGTAACAGCAAGCTATGGAGAAATAGCAAATTCATCTTCCTGGCATAATTATACTTACGCGGCAGTCTGATTCCCAAACAAGCACAATATGGCGGCTTGGCGGCCGGCAGCGCGGGCGCAGGGTGTATCAATACGAATGATGTATCACGCGTGAAGTCCCCACCCTCACATTCCAGGACACGGATAAGGAACAGCTTGACTACAGCTAAAGAAGAAATGGTGCAGATTCATATTTTATGCAAAGGTTTCTCAATTTGTATTGAACACAATGAAAAAATACCTTTAGCTACTTTTCTCGGAGAATCGCTCTGCAATAAATGCAGAAGCATTCGTCTGGAGAATACGTCACCCAGCACTGATCCGCATTTCAATATCATCTTCTCAAAAGGTGTCAAAGAATCATACGTTTTCAAGATCACAGCTGGAAACAAAATAAAAGTAGTACGTATTGTCGTCGCCATCTTAGAAACTTAATTATTTTTTATGTCTATGAGGAATTACGGGATATTGGGAAAGTTTGACTACTTACTGAACTGATTCAGGGCCAAGAAGTTACTGTCTTTAACCCTATATCTAGCTAGATAGTTGGATTCAGTTACCGTCCATCGTCATATCAGCAGTCATGTCGTCGAAACTGTACCCCTCGGACAGTACAGCCATCTGCACGACGTCGGAGTGAAGAGCGAACTGGCTCTCCTGCTTGCTCAACATGCTCACACTTACTACGCTGTAAATGCTCTGAGGGAGGAGTAGAAAGATGTAATGTACTTGGGTACATAGGTACTTCATTTTACTACAACTGTGGCACACGTAAATGAGGGCTATCGTTTTAGCGCTCACCAGTTAGCGCCACTGTAGAGTATCCTGTCACTTGCTAATAGCGAAGACAGTGGCGCCAACTTGTGAGGGCTAAAGTGGTAGGAGGACTATCATATTTGCACTCATCAAGATGGCGCCACTGTAGAGTAAGGTCCTGTCAATCGCCAGGGGTGCCAACTGTTAAGTATAAAAACGATAGCCCTCATTGATGAGTGCGCAACTTTATTTCTGAACAAATTGACAGCCTTTAGTTAGATTGTGCTTTAGAGGTCTAGCCCAGAAGCAAGGCGTGGCGTGGAGCGTCAAATTGGATAGAAACGTTACGCTAGCTTGCGCCGCGTTGTAATCGCGTTAGAGCAAGTTTTTAGCTTTCGGTAGATAATAAACCTATGTAAGCTAGCTACCTTTGAGCTTTGAGCTTTCTAGACTCCATAGTTGTTGCTTCAACTGTATAAAGGTACAAATATAAAAAAAAACCTGCGGAAAAAGGGGAAAACCACCTGATAACTTTGCCGTCTCGGCTCAAGACCAGCGTTACTCATTTCATGGCCGGGTATCTGCAGGAGAGCTGGTGACGGCATCACAGCCCCAGACTCCAAGGCCTCCTCCCGAGGCACGGTGACCACGGATAGAACCCCTCGTTGGACTAGGGAGATGACGAAGTTCTGGATCCAACCAGGCATACCACCGCTGGCACTCTCGATCACTCTGCATGATATTTATTGGTAACCTCAGTACCTAATTTATTCCCACGCAAGAAAAATGTTTACAATAAAGATTAACTTAAGTTAAATACCTATTTAGGTAATTATTTAATTAGGTACTTGAGTAAGTGCCTACTTGGAAAATAAGCTTGTAAATGTAATGATTGACTCTGCGTCCTCCTTAACACCTAATGGTACCTATTTTACTAATGATGTGCTATAGTATGGTATGATAGGCACGTTAATAATTAATATACATGAGTGGCAGTAAACAACTTCAAAGTGCGTGTTATTAAATCTCTCCGGTTTAGGTTCCTATCTTTATATACCATTCATATCACTTACTCATCTCTAAAAGTCCAGCCTGGCCAAATATTGCTTATGAAGTGTGTAATTAATCTATCTACTTATCTACCTATATTACTGACCAGAAAAAAGGTGCTTACTTCTCCAAGTCTGCCGGTATGGCCTGCACGTCCAGTAATTGGCACGCCAACGAGGCATGGTACCAGCGGTCGATCCCCGTCAGATAAACCTTTTCTATCATGTAGTTGTCCAAGCACTTACGAGCCACCACTGAGAACAGACTTGATTTTATACTTAACGTAAATAATTAGTAGACAATTTTAATTAACTTCCACTCTTCCCGTATTAAATGTTGTTGAAAAAGAAGAATAAAGGTGAAATGTATAGGCGAACATCAGGCCTTCCCAACCCGTTTGGCTGGCATAGGGAGTATAGACAAAATTCTCCCTTTTGCCTCTGGTAAATTGAGAGGATCCACGTAAGAAGCCAGTGGAGACTAAATGACCTGATGATTATAAAATGATGAAGTTTAATACATACGCGAAAGCTTATCCTCGTCAGTGATGGTGAAAAGAACAAAAAAAGTCTTTATCTCTAATAGGATCAATATCATCCGCCAAGATTGATCGTCGATGTGCTGAGCTTTTTTTATAGCCGCCACCCAAAGTCTCACGAAATTCTGTTAAATGGTAACTTTGTTATTTTGGTCGATGGAGTCGCTACTTAAATATCAAATAAAATTGATACGAACTTTTTTAAAGATTTCTTGCAGAATATTTTTGACGCTGAAGTTGCACAAGATGTCTCCCGTATAATCAAACTTCTCGGGAAGAGGAAATCTGCTGTCGAATATTTCATTCAACGCGAATATCTGAACAGGCGTTAATCCATCCAAATCGATACTGAAAAAGTTTAAAAATAGTTTAGCCATTTTCCACTTTTTTTTTCGCATGTATAGTAGAAAATACGCTAAGTCACGTGGTATTTCACGCTCGTACCCTATTAGCTAAGTGGGTAACTGGGTACCTAAATTAATTTACTTAACTATTGTCATTATCACAATCAAGCGATACTTTTTAAGGTCCACTTACCCAATTTTCTACCATTAGGTAATTCTCGTGGCTTTTATAAAGATCATTATTTTTTACCTGTATCTTATAAGGTTTTCACAACTTTCCCTTGCTTTTCGCCCATCAGTAGCAATGAAAGCTCTGGACAATATCTTTCGGAATATTGTAAAAGGTTTCTAAAGGAACAATAATAATATTATTTATTACTGACAATAAAAGTATGATGTCGATGATGATGAATTATTTTACCTCGTCCTTTTCTGTTAACGAAAACATGTCTGCGTGCACATAACTTGGTGTTATATTGATGCATTCTTCTAATAAACGCGTTTTGCCTACTAATGTTGGGCCCTGGTTGATAAAAATCCTTAATGAGACTGTCTATTATACAGGGTGTTAGGTAAATGGGTATATGAGCCGACACTAGCCCATGTTAACATGGTCATATAAATGGTATGGTGAAGTCAGAAAATTGATATCTTCATTTTAACTATTTTAATTTTCATAGAAATCGGATTTTGTAAAATTGTTTTTGTATGAAAATTAGAAAAATTAAAATCATGATATCAAATTTCTGACTTCACCATACCATTTATATGCCTATGTTAACATGGGCTAGGGTCGGCTCATATACCCATTTACCTAACACCCTGTATAAGTACTATGATACCATTAAAAATTAATACTATAGGTGTACCAGAATCTCATGGCAAATAGGGAAAATAAACTTTGTTGAGAGCAATACTGGGGAAATTGGAATAAACGATCTTGATACTGTTTAATTTTTTACTTTTATACTAATATTAATGAACATGAAGAACGAATATACATTTTAGGTAGGGTGTATGAAGAATGTTGTTATACATCGTTTTTAACATAGGAAAATGTCTTGGAAATTAAATAAATCGTCTGTGAGAAAAGAAATGTCTAAGAAATTAATTATTTAAATTACCTACCATATTTTCGCGTGGAACTGAAACATAGGCGGTGCCGTTCTTTTTGTATATGGCCAGGTCTGGGTTATTTAAAAGAAAGGTTACAAAATTTTACTAAGAAAGAATCTTGAGTGACCCTAGCTGAAAAATTAAAAACTGCTAGATTAAAAAAAAAAATGAACTGGCTGGATCAGGGGTGATTTACTGTTAGTACTCCGAATGACTGTGTGAATACACCGATCAAAATGGCGTGAATAGTTATGCGCAACTTTAGGGCCCTGTAACTTATTTATTTGTAGAGATATTTTCATGATTATTTCACAATTATTATTAGTTCTACTTATATTTATTTCAAGTTTATTTCAAAGAAAAAAATTGGAAACTTCTCCATTATTCAATCTTGCTTTATGAAATAATTTTCAATTTTCTTTACATGGTCATAACATCTGCACCAATTTGTGAGATATACCTGAAAACCCCGATAAAGCAGCTATTAAGTAAGAATAATATAAAAAAACACAACCCTCCTTCTGACACAGTTGGGTAATAAACTAAATGTATCAAAACATTTCAGTCCAACTTACTGTCAACAGTGTCAACTCGACGACGCGCTTTAGAATCAAAGATCGACTTTGAATTATGCCTTATTTTACAATTCACATTGAAAACAATATGCCTTAATTGAACTTTTTCGACTTTTTCACAAAAATAACAAATAGTCAAGAAGAGATTACAAAAATTTTGCAGCGGCTGACAGATTTCATAATTTTCTTTGACAGGTGACAATTAAACCATAGACAATTGCCATATGAAAAACACACTTTTCCAATATTTTTGTTTGCCATGAGATTCTGGTACACCTATACTTACAATAATAGCAAAACCAAACTTGTGATCCCTATATCTTGTGAACTTTTGCTTATGTTCATTGATAGCGTTGCAAAGAATCGATTTATATTTGCGCAACTCTTCATTTCTGCCTAGAATGGGATGTCTGTAATCTCCTGGACGGTCTGACCACCTTTGGAAAAGGAATTAATGAGTTTGTTCAGTCGTTCAAGGCTCATATACATAATCTTCGCCGAGTTATAATGAGCCTTAAATTGGAGGGAAAAATCTCAGGAATGATAGTATATCATCAGGTCTACGAGCTTTCTTTGTTCTAATAGAGCATCAATAATTACTAACCCATTTTTATTAAATTCATAAATGGGTCCAGCCTTAGTGATGCCTTTCAATGCTTTGGGTTCCATTATCTTAAAATGTTCTTGATCAAGTTTGCTTCTCAGGAAAGTTTCCTTATCGCAAGTGACTACCATGGGATACGCCATCATTAACCGAGCTGCCTGCATTTATAACAAAAGGTTATCTTGTGTAGACAATAGGTCTATATCCTCATGTTTTAATAATAGTTATGATAATTATGAAATATTGTGGATGTAAGTACCTTATTTACCGCAGGCCCTATGACCGTGTATTCTCGACGGAGATCGTGTCCAACTACACCACAATAAGTAGTGCCTATAAAAAAAGAAAGGGAAAAAGACTATACATACATACTATACTATACTAATACATACCGAACATAATGTGATTACTGACTAATTTAGTCAGTAATCACATTATGTTTGGTATTTCACTTCCTCTTCTAAAAGTAAAGGTGTCTCCTTTACACTATCTGTGACGGGAGCTTTTATTTCCCCATATTATATCCGTTTCCATAGACAAGTAAATAATCATGCAAACGTTACAATAAGAATTTTGAATCTTTCTCATAGCGTTTCTACAAACGTTAACGCAAGGCAAAAGTAATCCTGTCTAGTACGGGTCACGGGACTATTCCCACCTTTCGTTCCCACCAGTGCATCTCCTGTCTTGTCTAGTATTAGAAACCCTCCACAACTAACCCGAAGTGACTCCAATGGAAATGCTGATGATATTCTCCTCAGCCAGTTTCTCTTTCAGCTGATGAGCACACTGCAGGGCTTTTTCCGCCTCGTCTTCCTGCTTGAGACCTCGTAGCCCGAAGACTACGAGGAACATCATGTCCTTGTCGAACATGGAGACTTTGTTCACGAGTCCACCCGAAGCTGACGTCACGCTGGGTGTGATGATAAAATGTTTTGGTTTATTATAAATGAAAATAAGACATCTACTTACCTAACTAGGTAGATTATATTAGGTATACCTGCAGACAGACTTATAGGCCCTATCCACGACCTCTATCAGCACATCCTCGGTCACTGTCCTCGTGATGATATTGATGCAGAGTACCACCACTCTTCGGACCTCGGTGAGGAAGTCCATGGGCTCGTCGTTATCCACCGCCCTTAGTACTGGCGTCACCATGAAGCTTCTAAGGGCAGGCCACCACGAGCTTCGTAGGGCTGATATTACAGCTGGACGGACTACGAAAATTGACCATTGATGAATAGTTTAATGCGCTTTGCAAAAAGGTAAGTAAGGTACAGACGATAGCACGTCAAGCTAATACAAAACGCAAAAACTTACGTGAAAATTCACGAAAATTTATTTCGGAAACATTTCCCTCGTCGAACCTTGGACTATTCGCGAGGAACTGTGGTGATTTTAACGCTTCGGCTGTGAATCGAAAATGTATTGCAGTAAAAAAATACGGAAACTAGTTTATTCTTACTAAAATAGCTCAGAAAACCTACGTCTTTGAGTTGCTCCCAGCGTGTAATTAAGATTTTCAACTCTTTTCCATGTAGCGCCAACGCCAAGCACCTTAAAATTTAAAATAATTTTCAGAAGACCACGGATAGAATTATCTCTCCGGTCTACATAATAATGTAACTATCGCATTAGTTAAGTTGTACCCAAAACTACTAAACCTACTGTTACCCTAGTTCACAAGTACTCGTACCTACTTAATATTGTTTGTGGGCCAAGGGGTTTGAAGTGTTTGAACTAGAAACTGTAACTGGCCTTCCGTCAGACAACAAAAGCAGTGTCCAAGCTTAAGATCTTTTCTATCCAAATTAAATGTTAAATCCATGCCTTCGTATGCCTTCCATCTCCGCACGGCTGAGTGCAGTATTCCGCCTCGTTCACGTAAATCCAAGCACTGGCAGAGGTGAGGACGTCACCAGCCGTGCTCATGTACTCCGCCATCTTGACGTCCCACACTGGCGGGCCCACGATCACGTAGTGGGACTGGGACGTGTTCCCGCCGCCGATGATTGAAAAGTGGGACAGGCCGGCCGATATCGCTACTTTTACTGGAGAGGAACAAATGAAGGTTTCCAATAACATTCCAAGTAAATTAGTTTAGTTTCTTCTACCCAGGGCCGCGCCGCCCCTGTGTGCGATGTGTGCGGCGCACACAGGCGCCAAGACAATAGGGGCGCCGCGCCGCTACTGCCACCTATTTTTTTTTTAAATGGAGTATCGATAAGTAAGTAGGTACAGTATGCGCAACATAAGCCTTGTACACAACAAAACAAATATTATGCTTATTAAACAAGTCTCTCAATATTCATATTATTATGTTTATTATGATTCAAGTTTATGGTTTCATTTTTACGCTTAGGCTTAGATTAATAAAACCTAAGCGCTTAGGGTTTTAGTTTACATTACTTACGAGCTCAACGTAAAACGGCGGCAGTTCTTTTGAACCTCAAATAAAGTATAGTTATTTTGAACCGTAGAGGCGCCGAGTTTGTAATACAAAATTTTTATGACTATGAGTGAGTTTATGAACGCAACCCGATGCGATGCGTGCGAGTTGCGACACAAGCGGGATGGGGTCCCGGGGATTCCCCGCCACGGGGATTTTAACGAAAGAGATAGCCAAGTCAAAACCACAGTATACAGGGTGTTTGGCGGAAGGTTAGACAAACTTCGTGGGTGTATAGGTAAGGTCATTTTAAGAATACAAGTTCGCCCATTTTACCCTAAGTGACCTACTTTTTTATTAATTGATGTTTTTGTTTATATTTATTTTTTTCCAAAATATGACCTAAAACCTGTTTCAATGTTTTTTCTTGCATGTTTTCAACCGCATTTTTTATTTGATATTAATATCGAATATGTCTTTAGTCAAATAAAATTTTCAGATCCAGATAATGATTGAATTGATTGCAATCAAATTAGATAAGTATTTGCCTACGCAAAACAATGTAATTTTTCCATACAAAATATCAAAATAATAATAATTAATATCCCGTAGCTGATCTTAAATTTTCCAGCTTTTAAGCTAAGGTAGAAAAAGACTATTAAACACACAGCAAAAACATAAAAGTATTAAAATAAAAGAAAAAAGTGTGATAAAAGGGCGCCCGCTCAGTTTTAATCGGGACACCATGTTAGGATGTCCCGATTATTATTTTTTTTTAAATAGAATTCCAAGTTGAATTTTTTATCGTGGTTTTTACTTTTGTTAAACTTTGGCGGCTCGTAACTAGCTATCCAATCATTATCTGGATCTGAAATGTATTTTACTTGACTAAAGACATGTTCGATATTAAAATAATAAAAGCGATTGAAAACAAGCGAGAAAAAAAAAGCAGTTTTTAGGTCAAATTTCGGAAAAAATTAAAGGAAAACAAAAATATCAATTAAAAAAAAATTACCACTTAGGGTCAAATGGGCGAACTAGTATTCTTAAAATGACCTTACCTATACACCCACGAAGTTTGTCTAACCTTCCGCCAAACCCTGTATTATATTTTAAGTATGATTAAAATATTCTTGCAAATGTTAGTCTTGCTGTTTAAACATAGCATAGGTAGGTACGTAATAGTCATATATATTAGTATTATTATGATTAGAAAAAAGTCAGCTTCCTTGTTATTAATATTTAAGTATACAATTCTTTGTATTAAGTATGTAAAAATTTAGTTCGAGTTTTCCTTTTCGTAGTAATTGGCAAGCAGAACGAACGGGATTTACCTATTTAGTATCCTAATTCCTAAGTGGTTTCCAGTTATAACACATTTATGATAATATTATCTAAGTACTGTAAAACTGGAGAACATTTATTTTAGTTAAAATTATCAATTAAAATATTCGTTAAAAATTTAAATTCGTTTTTTTATGACGATTCATTAGAAAAGAGGCGCTTCATAGGTTCCGCACACAGGCGCTGGCGGCGGTCGGCGCGGCCCTGCTTCTACCTACTTGCGTTAAGTACTAGTATGAATCCATGACATACCTAAATAGTTAGTTGGATTTTACCTCGAAAAATGGGATGGAAAGGGATTACTTAATTAGGAATAGAAGCATTTCACTGCGCACAGAGAAAGGAGACAATTATAGCGATAAGAAAGCGCGTCATCCATTTAGAAACAAGGATTTCTTCAGTCAACCGGGAATCGAACCTGAGCCTTAAAGCCTACGGTGTTGGTACGTTTATTTTTATAAAAAATAAGCAAACTAACCCTTCAGCACAACCCCAACATCTGTCACGAAGGTCCCATAGTTCTTCTGGATGATGAGGCCGCAGTCTATAGCAGTATGAACGACATCCTGCATGCTAAGCCTCGGCGTCTTCTTCCACATCGACAGGAAGGCGTCTCCAGAGAACTTCAGCACGTCTCCGTTATGCATGAGGATTTCTTGGACCATGGCCCCGATGTACGAGTTTAGGACCTGGGTCAGACGCGAAGGCCCACCACGACCTGGCTTCGTGTAACTCTCGCAGAGGTCCGTGAAGCCTTCAATATGGGAAATACCATCAAATTGACCTACTGAAGTTAGTAGTAAGCTAAAGAACGAACAAATTGTGTTTTTGTGCTACCCTCTGACAAAATAGGAATTGATAGGTACACATACATAACTGGGAATCGAACCCGGAACTCCTTTGCGTTCAAGGTGATGGTGGCGCCACTACGCTAGGTATTTTTTGGTATCAGACGATTGAACATCTTGCGATTCTAGTGCGGTTTTATTACGATCAAGGCCTATAAGAAAATCCGAACCGATAATTTTCAGAAATTTAGATTTCATCGACTGAGATTTGAACTCTGTTCACAATTTATACAGGGCGCGGTTATTATAACCGTTCTCGGACTCTGTCTCTCACTTACGGCGGTTGACTGTTCTACTTCTACTAAGGCGATTAGCAGCACTATATAACCACAAATAAATATCTCGAATTTGAAAAATGTGTGCCTACTTACTTTTTACAATTTACTGTACCCACCAGAAATATCAATAAACATGAGCGCAGTCTCGTAACTCCTCACGGAGAGGTCCGAGTGCTTCCAGATTATCTCGTCGGGCACCATGGAGGCGACGATGCTGATGCGAGTGGCCTGCTGGACGCTGCTCCAACTGCCAGCCACCAGTCCGTCCAACCTATCGTTATTTTGTTAGATTTCGGCTACGTAAAGATATTCAACGTCACACAGCACAGCCAAATCCTGTACAGGGGTGGTCTTTGTGGAAATCCTCAAATTGGGAGCCTTTTGTCCAGCAGTGGACAACGGCGCTAGATTCTAAACGAAAGAATACAGGTAGGACTTTTCGTTGCGATAAATTGAAGCTTAGTTCTACTACGACTGAATGTTGAGCCTAGGGTTCGTTATTTTTGTTAAACCATTCTTTAAAACTTTCAGTTACATCTATAGACTGGTCTGTGAGCACGTAGAATTTTGTCCAATTTCGCACTCACTGCGGGCGCCCGTCGCACAGTCGCGACAGCAATATTATGATTAGGTACGCGCGAGCGATAAGGATGGGTAGCTTGGGGTCATTGGACAAAATTCTACGTGCTCACAGACCGGGTTTTACCACTATTCCCCTCTTAAATTATACCTACTCCTGCTACGGCTAAGGACCTCTATAAAATAGAGAAGACAAAAATATACTAACACCCCCTGTTTCTGAGCCACCTTCTGCCTATGGCGATCTCGAGGCGACATTATTTCCACAGGAACGGTGTTCTTGTTTTGGGCCTGGTGTTGAACCCTTTTCATGGCCAAGAGGTACTCATCGCTGCTCTCCACGCTTTGTCTGGATGGACCTAAATCTGAATTATGATAAAAATGAAGCGGACCCTTAACATGATGATGTGTCAATATCACTATGGTTTTCGATGGTATTCCACGGAATCTCTCAAGTCTGCTTCAACTGTTTTGTGTCTAACTTCCATTTCATACTACGGTCTTACATCTACAGGCTATCTTGCTCGAATGAAGACTACAGCGTCTTGCTTTAGCGTTCATTCAGAAAACAGAGGATATTCACCAAGAATCGAATCCGGGTCTTCAACAACTAATCCTTTAAACTAAGTGCATGAAGGAACTTACTGTTTCCATGCCATAAATGAGAATCCCTAAATCGTTCTTTGCTGGAGCTTGGTAACATTTTAATTATCTGATAGAGTACCGAATGAATGAGATTAAAATTAGCACAGCTTTCAGCAAGCATCAGTTTGACTCAACTGGTGAGTCTGGTGACAGTGATGCTTGTAATATTTTTTATAGGTCAGTTTAAACGAATGCAGTAAGTATGTATTATTTTAGAACCGCCTCTGTGGTCTAGTGGTAAGACCACCTGAAGAAGGGGTGGGCACAAAATTTTCTTCTCGAAATTGTTAGTGGTAGAGCCTGGCCAGCTATCACCTAAGCTACTTATCCTACCTAAGCTCACTTCCACCTTCCGCCTGGTCAGTTTTCATTAAGCGAGATGAAAGGGAGATCCTGGGCAAGATCTGTCTGAGTAGTACACAAACTCGAAATGGCTTATTCCACTATTCCTATTGTTGACACAATATTGCAAGAGCAATCGAACTCTTGCTAGAAGGAAAGAATAGCTAACCCTTCAGACATTCCGTGTTTCTGTAGGCACACCGCCAAAAAACTTACGAAGTTATTCAATTATAATTATAACTTCTAAGATGTTTTTATATACAGGGTGACTGGAACTGAACCCGCCATAGCTAATACGCGTATAGAGGAGGTCATTTGCTAATTATTGAACCTTACTTTCAATGACTAAAGTTTTATAGTTTAGGAGATATGTCAATTTTTATACTTTTTTCAGATTTTTCCGAAATTTGACCTAAAAACTGCTTCAATTTTTTTTCTCGCGTGATTTCAACAGTTTTTTTTTATTTGATATTAATATCGAATATGTCTTTATTCAAATAAAATAAATTTCTGATCCAGATAATGATTGAATATCCAGTTACGAGCCGCCAAAGTCTAACAAAAGTACAAACCACGATAAAAAATTCTACTTCGAATTCGATTGAAACAAAAATTAATGGTGATAATGGATTGCCAATGATCTTAAAAATATCTCTAGCTTCTCTTCTTTCCAATGATATATCACACGTTGTAATTATATAATGAAATTTGTCAAAAATTCAAAGTTTATGGAAGAAAATGGAGTAATAATACAAAAATTATCCATACAAAGATGATTTTGAATTTTTTTAAACTCTTTTCTTCATAATGTGATTATTATTTTTAAATTCATTTTTCAAAAAGCACACAAAAATAGTTATAAAAAGTAGTATAGCAGATAATATGAGATGTTTGAAGAAACTTTGTATGGATATTTTCGTATTATTACTCCATTTTCTTCCATAAACTTTAAATTTTTAATAAATTTCAATATCTAATTACTACGTGTGATATATCATTGGAAAGAAGAGAAGGTAGAGATATTTTTAAGATCATTGGCAATCCATTATCACCATTAGTTTTTTTTTAATCGAATTCAAACTTGAATTTTTTATCGTGGTTTGTACTTTTGTTGAACTTTGACGGCTCGTAACTAGTTATTGAATCATAATCTAGATCTGAATTTATTTTATTTGACTCAAGGTTTATTTGATATTAGTATCAAATAAAAAAATCGGTTAAAATCATGCGAGAAAAAAAAATTAAGCAGTTTTTAGGTCAAATTTCAGAAAAATCTGAAAAAAGTATAAAAATTTACATATCTCCTAAACTATAAAACTTTAGTCATAGAAAGTAAGGTTCAATAATTAGCAAATGACCTCCTCTATACGCGTATTAGCTATGGCGGGTTCAGTTCCAGTCACCCTGTATATTACCTATCATATTCTGCTGAATTCTAACTTTCTTCTATAGTTCCAAAATACTGGACTGTCCTGTCGATGACTTTGACAGTGGGGCGCCACCGTCAATACCGGATCGCTGGTTCAGATTTGTGCCATGTTGGAAACCATATACTTGAACGATGGTAGCGCCCCCCTGTCATTGAGTTTGGCGGGACAGTTCAGCGTGGGTCATCTATAACGTGGTTACCTATTCTTACAATATTTCCAAGAAGATAAGCTGAACTGATTTTAATGAAATTCAAGTAGAAAACATTGCTAACCTACTTACCTAGTCAGTTATTTTAAAAAGGAGTTTTAAATAAAACTTAAAATATCATAAATAAAACTTTTATTTACCTTTTTCATAATGGTTTTACTTGGCTTTAGTAGTAAGTAAAATTCTTTTTCACTCATTATCACAGCACTTTTTACGACACAACCACTGATAAGTTTTACATATCTCACGAAACTAGGTTGACACGGCTTTCTGCAGATGGAGACCACACGTGCCCATGCTGTACTGGAACCGGGTCACCCAGGCTACCTAGAAAGAAAGAGAACAAAACAAAGAGCACGAAATGATAAGATGTGTGTTTACACTTGATGTTTTTATCGAGGTTACCTACGCATTCGGAGACAGTCTCGTACTCAACCTACGGCCAGTCAAACTTTTGTAAAAGCCATCTGGCTTAATTAAAAACTTTTATTGAGAAACTGAGAGAGGCACCAAAATTAAAATTAATTGCTTTGAAAGAAGGTTGAGTACCGCTGCTCTTTAGTGCCGCTGCAACCCTACAGCATTTTTTGCGAGTATGATCACGTCTATGATGTATGCGCATGAGTGTACCTAAATACATGAAAATATGTGCGTGTGTACCTCTATGTGATGACTCCCCGACTTAAGTGATTTAATTTGAAGGTTTTCGCCATTGTGTGACCCTTGGGGAAGTAGGTACCTTAGTGCGCTAAAGTATGTACCTACTGTGTACTAACTACTACATGGGTATCAAATTACCCAGATTGTAGGTGGTGTAACGGTTTCCAATAAGCAAAAACATAACCCTCCTTCTGGCGCAGTCGGGTAAAAACTCATGAGTCCGGGTACCGAAAACGTATCGATAAATGCACCATTTAGCAGTCATGAATCATGATGATGATGTTTTGGCATTTTTTACGTTAATTTTATCCCTTTTAGATAGGATAGATACTTGCCTCCTTAAAAATCTGCTTCTCGTGACCGGCCAATTCGACTTTTTGGATAATCATCCCAATCAATCCTCTTGCTCTTTGAAAAATCGGAGTTACATACCTACAGATAGCTAAAAAGTCCGACAGGTAAGGTTACTTAGGTACAGTCAGCGTCAAATAGTTCGTGACACCCAAAGTGGACAACAAGTCGCGAACTTAAGCCCGGTTTCCAGTCCACCAAGAATTTGACAGCGGCACCGCGGCGCGGAGCGGAGAAGAGAAGTGGAAATAATGAAATCTGATTAGTTATTCAAAACACTTCTTTGCTCCGCTTAGCCTTGGTGGAAACCGAGCTTTATTGGCTACTTTGAGTATCACGAACTATTTGACGCTGACTGTACTATCGTTATTGAAGAACAGAGCCTGGTTTTGTGTCCAAATAGATTGAAAAGCGTCTAAATACTGATGGGATGGAACAAGTAATTAAGTATGTCATCAATGGCACCAATAATGATCAAGAAAGGAGGCACTGGGCCTAGAAGTCCTTCAGCAGAATTATTAGCAAGAAAAAGGACCTATCTTAAAGGCTCAAAATAGGAAATTGATTCCAAAATTCAACAAATCATCTTATACAGGGTGACTTGTAATGAGTGAACATCCTTGTAAGAGATTTTAGTAAAGTCACTTGCAATCATTTAGATCTGTATATGCCTAAGCAAACGTCCACAATTTATGAGATAATATTTCCATTTTAATTTTGTATGAAAGACTTTTTTTTCTGTAGGGAGCACTGCATCTAAATGAATGAAATAAATGTAAGTTTAGTAATGAATAATTATTAAGTTTTCCATGATTTTTTCACATAAAATTATAATCTCACTAGCTTTCCGCCCGCGGCTTCGCCCGCGTGGAATTTTGTCTGTCACAGAAAAACTTTATCGCGCGCGTCCCTGTTTCAAAAACCGGGATAAAAACTATCCTATGTTCTTTCCCGGGACTCAAACTATCTCTATGCCAAATTTCATCAAAATCGGTTGCGAGGTTTAGCAAAGCGTAACAGACAGACAGACAGACAGAGTTACTTTCGCATTTATAATATTAGTTGGGATAAATGGTGCCTTATCCTGCACATACACAACTAAATTGGTTACAAATGACCTGTGTCCTGCCTACTGTATTCACATACAAGGTGTTCACTAATCACAAATCACCCTGTAGATAAAGCAATTTAAAATTAACATAGTACTATCTAAAACACCAAACTATTGCCAGATTGTGTAGATTACCCATGCAGTGTACATAAAATGCTTCTCAGTCAGCCAGAAGCTCAGCAGGACTGACAATGCCAGTTTCAGCAGCACAGTTAGTGTCTGTCACATCAAACTTACCTAGACCATGGGCACTATACAAACCATTAATACTTTTATCACTCACTGGTAAGTTTCTACACTCACTTAAGTTTTAACTCAACTGAAGTTTATGGTGCTAACTTTTAAACTTAGTACTTGGTGTGGGAACTATTTTAACTTCACATTTTTACTGTCTATCCTGCAAGTCTTTGTAATCGCAACACAAACACTTAGAAAAACTTCAGATTGTACTTTACCACACTCAGTGACAATTAACTATCATTATTGCATCACAAACTGGTCACTTAACACTTAATACTCTCACAACTCACTAGGTTCAAAAAAACAACAACTTGAGATATAATAATCTATTTTCAAGTACACACACTTACACTACACATCACCTAGCATAGGGTAATTGCGCCGGTTTTCCGTCCAGCTCCTGTTTTCGTCCATTTGACCGACTTGCCACAAACAAATACGGAAAATTAGAATAAAAACCTAACTTTCTGTGCAAGTTTGGACTTGTTACAATCTATAATATCTAAGTAACAGTTCTGCCTGCATGAAAATGTAATTTGACAAGTAATAACTCCAAAAAAATCTACGGAAGTTGCTGCTGTACACAGGTGAATGGAAAACGTCGTCAAGTTAGAAAAAAAACGTGCCGGTAGGGAAATTTCATGGTATGTTTAATTACTGTTTTAGCTACTTTACGTAATGTTTTTGGCACGTATGTCTAATTATTAGCATAATAAACACTATTTTAAGGGTTTATTAAAGTTTTTGTATAGAAATCTTAGATAATTAAGTGGACTAATACTAGCATAACAATTTTGCAAGATTTTGGTTTTCGTCCACGTGGACGGAAACCCTGACACCTAGTTAATATTTTTAATAATCATTTTACTTCAATGGACCTACAAAATACAATGTATTTTCTTCCAATATGATCTTTATTGCTATTACATTCAACATTTTAGTTTACGTCCACTTTTTAACAGTGATAAACCCATAAAAACCGTTAAAAAGATGTGGACGAAAACAAAAAATAGCTTTAAACGTTGTTGTGTTTTCGTCCATGACGTCATGAGCAAGCACTGGGGTGGACGAAAATCAAAATTAGCTATTCTTGTAGATTAGTTTTCGTCCATTTGTCCTTCGACCTATTGCAATATTTTCCAAAATTTAGGTAAGAAACTTATTTAAATCATTTTGATATCATTTGAAAGCTAACAAAATTACCTTTCAAATGATATACCACAATCCATAGTTACTGTATTGTAGAATTGGTTTTAAGTTAATAATTCAACTGAACCCTTTTTTCTACACAGTGGTCGAAAACTAGCGTACACTAGGACGAAAACTGATTTTTTTGGACGAAAACTAGTGAAATCGCCTCTTTTGCATAAAATATTTTTTATAAAAAAACCCGTGGTATTTACTTATTGTCATATAATATTAACGTAAAGTAGACTAAATAAGGACTAAAATGACATATGATACATATGAGTAAGGGTATTTTAAGATATTCATTTCGCATCACAAAGTTGGCAACTCCGATAATTGGACGAAAACTAGCGCACTTACCCTACACTGAATAAAAATACACTAAACTCTGTTTCCATAAATACACTTAGTTTTAAGATTGCTTTAAGTCTAGCAAGACTAACTTGTTCATTATTTGCAATAGCAATTATTGCTGTCACTACAACTGTGGATCACACAGCACTTGCACTAAACATAAGAACTTGTGAACAACCACAATACCTCACATCACTACACAACATCACAAACTTTATGTTACTGATAGTAATTTATAACATTTTTGGAAAACTTCAAAGTAAAAACTTAATCTAACTATTTAAACACAAATAGATTTATAAACTATCTTCATAAATATGTCAAGCAGAACCACCGCGGACCACGACTATTACAAGGTGGTCCTCTTTCAAACTTTCTTCAGTAAGATTGTGGCAAGTTCTCTTTAAGAGGTCCGTAGAGAAGTCACACGGAGGGAAAGAATACAACACTCCAGTTGCTTCTGTCTCTTTATTCAAGAGGGATATCACTCCTGCCGCCTCTTTCTGTTTCAAGTAAGACACCAGGTTTCTCATTGGCCTCGTCTGAATACTCGAATCTTCATTTGTAATAGAAGCTGTAGATCCAGCAACTCCCAAGAAAATAGCATGGGAGCTCGAAGTTGCAATACGTTTCTGAACATCATCCAATTTCGGTTGATCCAAACGGAGTCTTTGTGTGATTCTCAGTTGGTTTTTGCCATCCTCATCTTTCATCAGGCTGTCAATGATTTCAGAGTCACCATCGGTCAAATGGAACTTGGTGGGGAATAGGGAGTTTTTCAGGATGAGTGCACCATTCCAGATAGTGGTGGCTTTGCGTACGACTTCTGGGAGGGTTCGGGAGGACGCCAGCATGCCACCGGTACGGCGCGGGGAGCCGTCGGAATCGCTGTCGGGAGAGCGACGACGCGGGGAGCGGGATCGGGAGCGGTCAACACCAGGTTCACGTGAGCCAGAATGACGGACGCGACCTTCGTATTCGCCGTCGACTGGAGCTCGCCTCCATTCTTCGTCGCGGTAGTCGCCAGCGCCGTGGTAAGCACCCCTGTATGCTCCACGACCGCGACCGCGATGGCCGCCCCTACCCCTGTACCCTGGAGCCCCATACCCATAACTATCATCCCAAGTACCTTCGTAACCCTCGTAGCCTTCTACCGGCCTACCGTCTTCTCCTACAGGTGGAGCGTAAGGCTTAGGCCTGTACGGACCACCGTTGCCTACATCAGCGAAATCGATACGTAGGCGTCTTTCGGGCCCGCCGAGAGGAAAACCTCTCATCTCTTTAACGGCAGCCTGAGCGGCGTCTATCGAATCGTATAAAATGTATGCATGAGCTTCACCTTTGGCATATTCTATCTTCTTTATAGCCCCAAATCTGTCAAATTCCCTTTCTAGCTGAGCTACAGAGGTCCATGGACCGAGCCCCCCGACCCACACTCTGGTGGTGGGTGTGGCTTTACCGTACCCTATCTTACATTGGAATTTACCAATATATTGACCTGAAAGTTCAACTTTTGCCCTGTGTGCCATATCTAAAGTTTGATAGCGCACAAATGCAAAAGCATTTCCAGTGCCTGGCGGTGGACGTTTAATATCAATGTCCTCGACAATGCCGTAGCGTCCAAAAATACGACGCAGCTCCTCATCAGATATGTTTATCTCTAAGTTGCCAGCGAACAAAGTTCTAGTGGCCAGTGGATCATCTTCGGGCTGAACGTGGTGCAGGTAGTTGGGAAACTTGTCTTTTTTGTTTTCAGATTTCTCAAAAGGAGGATGATGCGGTCGCGGCATATACGGACGTGGCATATAATGGGGGTGTGGGGGATGGTGCATAGGGGGCCTGTGGTGCATGGGCGGGCCGTGAGGGCCTGCCATGGGATATTCGTGCATAGGTGGACGGAAATCTCTATGATGAGGTGGCACTGATGGTGGTATGCCATAGGCTCTGTCGTCTGGCGGCGGGCGACGGCGGTCGGGCACTGGCGACCACGCGTAGGAGTAAGGGCGCTCATAGTCGGTTGGCGTGATACTTCTCGGCCTACTTCTATACTCGGACCTCACAGGCTCGTACACAGGATCAACTATGGCCACCTTATCGTACAAAATGATCCTCGGCTTTGCATGTTTGGCGTCCCTTGCATCTTCAACACTTCGAAAACATACGTACGCGACGCGTTCGTCCAACTCGTGGGATATTTTGATGCTGAAGTCTCCAAACTTTTTGTACTCTCTGTAGAGAGTGTCTTTGACGATTTCATCTGACGCCTTGGGGTGCAATGCACTGACACAGAGAACTTTATAGTAGGGGCGTACGGATTCCTCGCGTACTTCACGAGAGCGAGCATAGTCGTCGCGGTGAGGGGACACGTACCGGCCCCGGGGGCTCGGTGACCGCACCCTTCGCCGTACACGGTCTGGAGTGACGCGCTCGTCTGAACTGTCGTCGTATCTTCCGATGCTACTACGTGTCCGCTTTGAACGCGGGATGCTATCCCTCGACGAACTCCTCTTCATGTTACGAATTTTCACCGTTATACGATCTCTATCTCTATCGCTACGCGGTAATCCAATCATGTAAGCTCAGTTTGGTGAATCACTATCTGAAATGCACAACATTACACGTCACTTCAAAATGTCGCTTGTTCCCGATAAATAATTCACTGCACAACAACTGTAACTATTGTCTTACCACAGCGAATAAGCAAGTCGTGTTCGCTAGTCACAAACACCTTCGCGATTCCACAATAGATAACACTAAACGAAAGTTCCAAGTTCAACACAGAAAACCGCACGCGAACTAATGATCGAACATGGATGCCAGCAGCCATCCAAAAACAAAATGGACGGAAGAAGATGAAATGCCGGAAATCAGCAGACTAGTGGTGGGTTGCCAGAACAGCAAAATATTTACCCATTTTTAATTAATTTTAGGTAAACAATGAGGATCATTTCGATTTTTAGCTGTGAATGCAGATTTATAGGGCTAAGAAATCCTTAATACACAGTCCAAAAATTTTTGTTCTACGACAAAAATTGACGAAGTTATGGCCAAATTACTAAAAAAGTTCACTGACCGCCCGGCGCGGGGACGATGACGTCACTATATCCGATCCGAACGCTGCCGGCGTACTGCGTGGATAGAAAATTTTTTTTTCTAGGCAAAATATCAGTTTTAGAGAAAAACTTGTAATGACATTTATTCATCAGAATAAAGTAAGCTATCGATAGGTAATTTTTAAAAATAGAAATTGTGAAAAATATCGCAAAATATCCATACGCTTACGATTCAATGGAACGCAAAGACGCGATTGGGGTCTCCGCGGTGGTATATTTGGCGATTTATTCAAATAAAGTGTTCATAAGTGTTGTTAGAGTCATATCTTTTTATTTATATTTCCATTTAAATAAAAGGTAGGTATTGCGTGTACATCGAAATGATCTTACCTGATACCCCCCCCCCCCCCGAAACTGGGTAAGTCTTGACCCCTCCCCCTCCCCCCAGGCCATAAGCATAAGCTGGATATCCCCCTCCCACCAAGGCCAGAGCTGGGTAAGGCTTGCCCCTCCCCCCAGGCTATAAGCTGGGTATGACTTATACATCCATAGCATCATATTATGTATTATCATGTTCAATACAAACAATCATTAAGTTACACTCACGCCAACCGCGTCTCCGCATTTGCATCGAAACCTATGAAAATGTGGTTTTGGACAAAGCGATACTTTTTTTCACAATTTTTATTTTTAAAAATTACTGGTTGATAGGTTACTTTATTTTGATGAATAAATGTAATTAAATTTTTTCTAAAACTGATAGTTTAGCTGGAAATAAATATTTTCCATCCCAATAGTACGCCGGCTGCGCTCGATTCGGATATAGTGACGTCACGCGGCCCTGCGTACGTTGACTTTTAGCGGCAAAAACGGCCTATGTTTATTACTTAATATCTCCGTAAGTAATGGTCCGATTTGGATAATTCAAAAAGATATATCTTTCTTATGTCTTAAAGATTAACGTAGATTCTAGTTTTATTGAATTTTCTACAACAGTACTGATCCTCATTCTTTTTATTGTTACAATTCTTCACGTCATCGCGTCATGAATTAATCAAAAACGACAAGAGCTTCCTGAAAACAGTTTAAGAAAGTCAATACGGTTTGAGTGATTTTTATTGTTTTTTTAATCAACTACCACGACCTTGATGCTTCAATTAATGTATTTAATGAAATGTGATCTTGTTGCTTTCCAATATGAACGATGATAGATAACACGCCGGCTCACCTGAATAAATGAATTCACTCTTGCGAAAAAACTGACAAGAATAAATTTGTCCCATAAAGGACAATGACCAAAAGTGGTCCAAATGTCCACCACTAATGAGACCTATATTGGCTTATAGTCCATTAAATAGAGAATAACTTTCAGTATGGGACGAAAAAAAAATAACCTGTCAGTAAAAAGTTACGACAGTTTGAAAAATTGTAGTAGTTTACGCGCTAATCTCAGGAACTATTGGTCCTATTTGAAAAAATATTTTTGTCATGGATAGCCCATTTATCAAGGATGGTTTTAGGTTATTTAACATCACCCTACAACCAATAGGGGCGGAGCAGTAAAGACAAATGTTGTAAAAATGGGAAATATTATTATTATTCAAACTATTTTCACGCGTGCAAAGTCACAGCTAGTATAATATAATAATTCATCTACATATAACCCAGTACCTACCAGTTGGAAAAAAGACTATTTTTACCCCTTTCGCATATTCAAAGTATTCCAATATTGTTGTCTTTCTTCTGAGCTTATTTTTTTTTCTTTTAGCGAGAACCTAACACGGCACACTAAGCGACATGACATAACATGCATAGATTAGTCCAAAATGTGCGATGGATAGACTGATATCGAGAACATTTTTCAGATGAAAAGGTGAAAAACATGACTTTTCATTCAGTCATAACTTTTTACTGACAGCATATTTTTGATTGCGGTTTGGTTATAATGAATCAGTATTTAGTAGACTATTTTACTACATAGGTCTCGTTTGTGGTGGACATTTGGACCACACTCCATACATTTTTGGTCATTGTCCTTTAAAATATAAAAAAAATTATATGCTGGCAACTTTGCAATAACCGGAAATGAGATCAGTAGTGATGTTTTTATGATGTCACGTATTTCAAATAATTTCAATTGAAAAACGAATGTATCGATTAAACATAGCATTGACGATTCCTTTAAATATATTTTTTTAATCCCCCTTCCTTCACCATCCCACATAATACAAAATTGATGGTGTGGAGCGTACATCGTAGATGCTCGCACTTAGATATTAATTTGCTAAACAGATTTTTACTCAAATAATATCATGCATGCATTCGAATATTAAAAGCATGGACACTACACATCCCTAATGGACACTGACAGTTATACACTTTGGGTACTTTTTATTGTCATATTTTAATTAAATTCAAATTCCCCTCGCAATTTTAGGTTTATTATCTGATACATACTTAGATTAAAGTTTTTTTTAGTCATAATCAACAAAAATACTAACCTTATGCTTGAATTGAATTTAAAAAAGAAGAAACAAATTGATTAACAAGTAAAAATTTTCTACTATACCGTTTAATCATAAACGACATAAAAAATAACCCAATTACTTTATTTGTTTTGGGCAAAGTCTACTGTTTTGTATTGTTGCAAAAAATCGGATTTATTTGTACGTTATACACGTTATTAGAATTTAAACTTTGGTGATGAGAGCCTAATATGGATATAATAATTCAAGTTAATAATCAGTCGAATGGGAGAGATAAATTGGCGAGGTCAGTACTTGCGTACTTGATATAGGTGACTGTTTCTTAGCTTATATTGTATTAGTATTATAATTTAACTAAACAAAACTAACCATTTAATTGCAGGCTAGCACAATATACAAGTCGGTTGATATGGCATCAATTAGAATCAAATCATGCAAACAAATATTCCGTGGATCGAATAAAAAATTTGGAACTTACACTGAGCACATTCAGAAAAAGTAAGTTATAAACTGAACAATGTTTTAGGTATCAATTTGTTGTGCTTGATCTTCATAATATATGTTTTTGTGTTTCAGTACTGAGGTTGGGACGATGTGTGGATATTTGCTATTCTGCATTGAACAGTATGAACATAGATGATCCATTCCTAAGGTTGGCGATAACTACAAGCAAATTGGCACATTCGCTGTTCCTTTATGCAGACCACATAGTCTGGTTTACAAAAAGTGGATTTTTGAAGACAGATTCAGACAAATGGAATCGTACAGCAAACAAGTTCTGGCTGTTATCAATTATTGCAAATCTCGCTAGAGATTTCTATGAGATATTGCACATTTTAGAGTTGAACAAAACCACTTTGTTAAAGCCTTCTAGCCTGTTGAATGGCTCGGTAAATAATTTGGATTTTACTGGCAGTGCCAGGCATTTGTATATGTTTGTAAATTGTCACAAAGATATTTTCATTGATACTGTTAAGAATTCCTGTGATTTGTTCATTCCTCTGACTGCTTTAGGGTTTACTAAGCTGAGTCCTAGTGCAGTGGGCACACTTGGGGCTATTTCTTCTCTAGCAGCACTAATAACTATTGTAAAGCCTATAACTAAGTTGGTGCCTGCATAAGAATGCTTATCTATTTACTTCAGACACTTATTAATTGTTACACTACTCATGACTACATTATAGTCTTCTACTGGCAAAATGGTGATGGTTTTTACTATTATACTTAGTGATAAATCATTAAAACGAAATGCAAATCAACTTTACATCCTTAGCAGAAGGATGATTTTGTTTCAGACAGTTTTACTGCTATAAATGCTTCTTTTATAACTTATCTGATAAGTTTTATTATGTTTTGATTAACAGGGTCATAAAATATTTTAGTAGGTATCTAGGTACGTCTTGGTACACAATGATATTGTTTAATTCTTAAGAAAAGTAGATATACTTTGTTTATTATATTTTTTTCTCATTTTCTGTAACTGAAATAAAAATATTTTATCAAGATGTTGTTTATTTTAGGACCTTGAGGCGAATCCGAAAAGCCGATAAACGTCGGGGGGTGGCCCTAGGAACATTTTTAAGTTGCGCCCAAAAATCGTCTCAGATAACAGATTACCTTTACCTAGCGAAAAATCTCTATGGTAGAAATCGTTTCATTGTTGAACGCGAGTAGTTTCTAAATGTTGGTTTCGTATAAAGATGCGAATTTACAAATTATGAAAAATATAGTCATTAATTCCTTTGCTACAGGTTGGTTCACCAGTTCATAAAAAAGTCTAACCTAACCTCCAAAATCCAAATTTGACAAGTGACATTTTGATTGAATAATAAAATTTTGAAATTGCATTTTTTGCGTAACTCTGCCGTACTTTATAAACAAAATTAAATTTTTTATCCAATGGCTCGTAATGTAGCTGATGCGGCACGGAAGTTTTTATTACTGGGTCAATGTGTTCCCACCGTGAAACAAAATGCAGCAAAAATTAGAGTAAAAAGGTTAGAATTAGATGAAAATTTACTCATGGTATGTATTATTTATTCAATCTACTGATTTCTATTGAATGGCGACAATATTCGTGGCCCTTTTAATACAGTCTTTTAACCACCGTCTTGTTTGTTTCAGTATTTCAAGAAGGATGAGTTTTATTACTGCCATGATCCGAGTAAAGTTTGCAAGACCGGTGATATAGTTCTCATACAGGCTTTACCCCAGAAATTGACTAAACTCATTACCCATGAAGTCAAAGAAGTAGTTTATCCACTTGGTGATGTCACAGACCCAGTAACAGGCAAGAAAGTGGCTAAAGAACGATACAGAGAAGATCTTGAAATTGAAAATAAAATCTACGGAGAGGTTGACACTGCATTTGATTACAATAAGGCACCTCCAAGAGGCTGGCAAGAAGGAAAGAAAGATTTTACTGCAAAACCTACATATACGAAATTCCATGTATTTGATGAGAATGATCCCTATGCTATTTAGTCCAATTATTGTAATTTATTAGTAAAATATAAGATTAGTTGTGTATAAAAGTATTTTTTTATTCCCGCAATCAGTTTCTTTCTTTCCAGTTTCAGGGATTTAACTTAATTTTATTTTCAGTTTAACCTCGGGTTATTTATTAATTGTACTAATTACATTTAATTTTTATTTTTTTTTTTTTTTCGTCAATTTTGTGTAGATTCAGGAATATTTCTACGTCATCTTTGTTGGGAGCTAGGCCGTTTATGTTCCATGTAGCCATTCTAAGTGTAGCCATTAGGCTAGCTTACTGACAAGTGTTGTTATGAGACTCAGCAAAGTACTCATTTGTTGTAGGATTGCTTCAAATTTTTGTGTTTGGGCTGCAAGTATTTTTTCTATTGTATAATTTTCAGAGTCCGATTCTGTTTTTTTTCCTGTGTTCTGATTGTCATTACTGTGTGGTTTATGTGTGTTTTCTCTATTTTCCAATTTACAGTTTTGTCGCGGGGGTAGTTTCGGCCATGCCTCCGTTTTTGCTGGATTAACTATAGCTGCGTCCTTGTTGACAGAGTTCACCTCGTTTTTCCTCCGTATCATGTGAGAGGGGGCTGACTTCCTTGAAAGAATTTCTTGGTACACTTCGCAGCCCTTATAGTTTGCTGGATGTGCGCCATGACACAGTGCGCATTTAGCCGGAGTGTTTCTGTCATGTTTAGGGCATTCGGATGTTTTATGTGGTTTGGCACATTTGACACAGCGGTATGGTCGCATACAGAAGTTATTTAATTTTTATGAGAATAAATTAATTCTTCATATAACCTACCCACCTAATTATAGTCTGAATCTGTTAAAAGTAATCACAAGGGAGTCCTGCGAGTAGCCTTAATAACGAGTACAGACAGATAATAGGTATACAGATATTCAGTCAATTGAAATTGTTTATTTATGCAAATAGGCTCCCAAGCACTTTATTACAAACAAACAATCATTTGTATGCATCTGATTACTTCTGTAGTTGATCATTAGACTGAGCTGAGCAAACTAATAATTAAACTTAATAATATTAAAAACTAGCAGCTAGCTCGCGGCTTCGCCCAGGGTTTTCCCGGAAATTATTCGAACTTTTTTCGCCGTTAAAAACATCCTTGGACTTCAAGAACATTAAAAAAAAAAAGAATTGGTAAAATTGGCCCAGGCGTTGCTGAGTTATGCGCACACGATTTGCGAATTTTTAAAAGATTAGAAAGCCATGAAAAAATAAAACCAAGATTGAGAAAAAAAAAACAGTTTATTTCGGTAGCGGGTCGTGTGTCGGTGGCATCAGTCCTGCGCGAGGAACTCTCTTTCTAGCGCAGCTCCCATGAGGTTCCAGGAGCTGTCATCGTCATCGGGCGGCTCGTCGTCTGACGGAGGCGTAGACGGCCGCTTCCGTTTCCTGGGTTTGGGCTCACCATCTGCAAATAAATAATTTTATTGTAATATATTTAATCAAGCCTTAAGTGTACAGTCAGCGTCAAATAGCGGTTCGTGACAGCCAAAGTAGCCTACAAGTAAGCAGGGTTCGAGGATATACAGTGTGAGTCACGTTAAAGTGTACATATGAAAATAAATGAAACTAGACCTATTTTTATCGGCAAAAAAGATGTCAAAAAAATTTAGAGATTTTTTTTTAATTTTTTATAGAATTTTTTTTCTTCCAATTACTTATTGTAAAGAAAACGTAATAACTTTTAAACTAGGCGGTATATCCTGATAAAATAAAAACAGTAATAATGCTAAATAATAGGCAATACTAAAAAAATACATAAAATACACTAAAAATGCCAACAAATAGTAAAAAATAATACTTTTTGAAAAAAATCTGCTTTGAAATTTATGTTTTTTTTGGTTATTTGATAAATTTCTCCAAAAAATGCCCCTATGACAGGTGGTTTTTATTACTTTGTATTATTTTCTATCGTATTATCTTTGTATAACCAAAAATCGCATGTCTCTATCCCTAACACAACATTTGCTATGATCGTTTGAACAAAGGCCTGCCACAACATTATCCTCCGCTACAGGTAGAGACAATTTTAATTTTAACTAAAATGCTTATTTTACATCTTAATCTTTTATTTTTATTTGAAATCTAACTTGTCTTTATCAAAATTACAAATCTAGAGCCATTTTCAGTTTCGTTGTTAACGAAGAGTTGAATGGCGCACCCGGAGAGGCTTAGTTCAAACGATCATTGCAAACGTTGTGATAGGGATAGAGACATGCGATTTTTCGTTTTACGAAGGTAATACGATAGAGAATAATACAAAGTAATAAAAACCACCTGTTTGTTATAGGGGCATTTTTTGGAAAAATTTATCAAATAACCAAAAAAACACGAATTTAAAAGCAGATTTTTTTCAAAAAGTATAATTATTTTTTGTTTGTTGGCCTTTTTTTGTGTATTTTATGTATTTTTTTAGTATCGCTTGTTATTTAGCATTATTACTGTTTTTATTTTATCAGGATGTACCGCTTAGTTTAAAAGTTATTACGTTTTCTTTACAATAAGTAATTGGAAGAAAAAAAACAATATCCTGTTGTAACTAAGCTTTAAGTTTACTAAGGTACCTGCATGCCAAATTTCAAGCGTCTAACTTAAGCGGTTTAGATTTGTCATACAAAAGGATTTTCCCGCTAATTCCCGATCCCGTGGGAATTCCTAAGTATCCTATAACCTGCCCAGGAGTATGAAGAATAATTGTACCAAGTTTCGTTAAAATCCGTCAAGTGGTTTTTGTTTCTATAAGGAACATACAGACAGACAGACAGAGACAAACAGACAAAAATTTTACTGATTGCAGTTTTGGCATCAGTATCGATCACTAATCACCCCCTGATAGTTATTTTGAAAATATATTTCATGTACAGAATTGACCTCTCTACAGATTTATTATAAGTATAGATATAGATAAATGAGATAGGTAAAAAAATCTGCTTGCATAACAGTAACTTGTATCTAACGGGAATTTAATGGATCATAAATTATGGGTTATTATAATAATTATTATACATGAAACTATAGTCCATTCAGCGTAAGATGGTGATTATGACAGTCAGGGTACGGAAACTTCCATACTACGATCAAACTTGCTTCCAAACAGCGACTTCAGTCGATAAATTCCAATACTTTTTTTTTTCTTTATGGCTCTCGCGGATTGCGTTTAGCCACGCACGACAGGGTTCTTGATTTTTGCGTTCAGTTTTGCCATAAGTTTTGCGGACATTGCGTTTAGACAGGGTGGGATTGGGTTAAAGTTAAAAGGTAGGGAAACGAATCAATTACGGATGGAAACGGAACAAAGGATGGTTTTCATAGGATCAATTTAGGTGTGATATAATTACAAAATAATAAAAATAAAATAATATTTACATAAGTACAATATACATTACTATTTACAATTTTATATTATTATGGGTAATAAATTCGGCTAGGATATTATAAACATCAATGTTATTGGTATATAATAGGCAAGTGATGGATGTAGGAAAAGGAATTTTAATGGCTAAAAGAGAACTAATAAAAGAGGAACGATCATATAGGCAACAGTAAAAAAATATGTGATTTAAGTCTCCGACGCCAGAACCACAAATGCACGAATCATTATCAAGTACATGAATTTTAGCCAAGTGTGCTGGAGTGCACACGTGACCAAGTCGCATTCTAGTTAAAATGGTAGTAACTGTTTTGGAAAGATTCATTTTAACAAACCATGGTTTACAAAGGATGGATGGTTGAATGAGCTTGTAATGTTTCCCCTNAATTGTCGACAATTTTTGGTTTTTTGGAAATAATCCCGTTTTTAACTTTATCTACCTTGGTTAAAAATTATTATTCTAATGTGCCCAAAATTCAAGTTTCTGTGACTGACTACCGTACAGTCAGTCACAGAAACTTTTGTCACCATGACAGTAATTAGTAGTTGACATACTGTGACAAAAGTCACCCGTGCGTGCGCGCCGTTACTACCTGCTCTGCCTGCACTTGTACTTGGTAACAGGGATAATAAGGATATGAAGTTTCGGTTATGGATACGGTTACGGATATTAGAATAATATTATACCGGTTTCGGTTACGGTCACGGATATAAAATCATTTCAGATTATCCGAAAGTTTCGGATAATTTCGGTTACGGAATTATTAGAATTTCAAAAATGTAGGTATAATTCAAATAGCAAGATGCTGCGTGACCCACATAGCTACTTTATGTACCAACTAAGACGACACCTATGTATGATAAAGGTTAAACAGGCTGGCATATTAGATGGTGCCAGGGAATGCCAGACAAGTTGGTAACAAATATTAAGATTTAAGGTACAATTCCAAGACGGGCCGCAGACCGCAAACTGCAAAACTCTATGAAATCGGCAGCGCGGCATTGCCGCTGCGGCGTGTATACTGCAGATTTCATAGAGTTTTGCAGTTTGGAATAATTGTACCCTTAGACTCCGCCTTTATCCGAAACTATCTGTAACTTTTGAATCAGTTTCGGTTACGGTTATGGATATTTTTTTATTTCGGATATCCGATAGTTTCGGTTACGGTTACGGATATCCATAACATCCCTGCTTGGTAAGATGGCCCTCTCCGTCCCGCTCATACCTTTTAAAATGGCTTCTCTACCTCATTCAAGCCAGAAACTTGAATTTTGGGCACATTAGAATAATAATTTTTAACCAAGGTAGATAAAGTTAAAAACGGGATTATTTCCAAAAAACCAAAAATTGTCGACAATTACAGCAAGAATTTACCAAGTGTTATACCATTTTGGAATCCTTACTAAATGCGCCAAATTATGACGTCACTTGCCACACTCGCGTAGTACAATTTTTTTTCAGTACAGTCAGTTTAAACTAGGCAAAATTTTTATTTTGAAATTTTTTTTGGGAAAAATGTATTTTTTTCATCCAAGTTGGAGCAGCTGGTTTTGTAATTTTGATAACAATTTAGAGAAGCATTATTCAGGGTTACATAACAAAAAAAAAAATTTGGAAAAAGTGAAGATTTGTGGCAACACGAGTAAAAAGACCGTCACCTGGAGTAGAAATTATTGATTTTTTTTAAATGCCCATTATTTTGAAAATATGCCACATAGATTTTTTTTTATATTTTTCTAATAACCAGCATAACTTGCCTCAACACCCAGTTCCGGCTTGACGTTACATTACGGGACACCCTGTATATCGGATATATATCCGATATATATCCAGCCCGTTTTGATGATATATATCAATTTTTAAAATTTATAACTGTATTTGTACTTTTTGACATAAGATTTTTGTTGTTTTAGTTGATTTTGCCGTGTTTACAAAAAGATTTTATGTTTTTTCTTTATTTGTCTGATTTTAAGTTTTAAAAACATTAAAAACATGTTTATGTAACACATATGCAATGGTATTCATAAATAATACAATAAAATAATAGTATAGCTTTCATACAAATTTGATATATATCAAAGTTGATATATATCGGATATATATCATAAATATCCGATATTTTGATATTTATAATAAATATCGGATATTTTCGAACCCTGCAAGTAAGTAAGGCAAACAGAAACAATTAACCAAGTGAAAAAAATAAGTAAGAAAATCTAAGTTCAAATTGATTTAAGGGATTTTTGAATGGTAAAGGACGTGAGCTATTAATTTTCACCTGCTATTGTTGTTAATGAATTCTAATCTTTGTATGTAGGTACACACGGCCACACTGTTCTATCCATTTCCGTTTTTGCTCTCGCTCTCATCAAATGGTGATTCTTTGCGATAGAACGAGACGACATGATTGGCAATGGGTAGTTAACACTGTTGTCGATAGTACATCACATTGTACTTACCTAAATCTGAATCACTGGATACGTCATCATCTCCTTTGTTTAGTAATCTGTGAGACAAGAAAAAAAACAGTGTAAGTCATGGTGGGATATAAAACATTATTTTGAATACATTTCACCATTTTCATGATTTGATTATTTTACTTTATTTACCTGTCTTCTGTGTCTTCATTTTCAACAGATATTAGTCTGTCCTCTGGTGGATTTTCTTCGTCATCTAGGTCATCCCCTCGATTTTTCGTTTCCTCATCTGAAGAACTCTCATCTGATTCATTAAAAATATCTTCAACCTAAGAGAAACATGTTTTCAGTTAATGAGGGTAATTTACATAAAAAATGCATTATCATTACTGTTTGATAATGGTAATAAGTTTGTAAAGATTGTCCCAGGGCAGTGTTTCGATCTCCTGACGCCGGAGGGCGTGCGGCGTCTGACTACATGTCCCCAGCCTGAGTGTGGTCGGCGCGGGCTCACCTCGCGGTCCAAGTGTCGTCGGCGCGGGCTCACCTCGCGGTCCATGTCGGCGATGTCGTCGCTGGAGAAGGACAGCAGCGGGTTGAGGGTGTCCATGAAGCGGCCGGAGGGCGTGCGGCGTCTGACTACATGTCCCCAGCCTGAGTGTCGTCGGCGCGGGCTCACCTCGCGGTCCATGTCGGCGATGTCGTCGCTGGAGAAGGACAGCAGCGGGTTGAGGGTGTCCATGAAGCGGCCGGAGGGCGTGCGGCGTCGCGGCGCGGGCGGCGGCGGGCTGCTGCAGTGCGCGGGCGGGCGCCGCGAGCTGCTCTGTGGACACGCGCGGTGGTTAACGCGGCCGTCGGTGTACGGTCCGCGTCAAATTGTTCGTGGCACCTAATACCCAAAAAGTTCGCAACACGTCTTTGTTACAAAGAGGGTTTTCGCGAATGAAAAATCCGCCAGATGGCAATACGTAGACGGGAGGTCCAAATGCTGCATGATTGGTGGATTTTGACATATCTGTCAATGTCATGCCAAAAATAACCAATCATGCAGCATTTGGACCTCGCATCTACGTATTGCCATCTGGCGGATTTTTCAATCGCGAAAACCCTCATTGGAATAAGGTTGTGTTGTCAACTTTTTGGCCACTTTTGAGTGTCACGAACTATTTAACGCTGACTGTACATCAAAGAATCAGGGCCTTGGTGACATTTTTATGAACTGTTAAAGAGTCTGCTTGTGGATCACGGCTGTATAAACACAAACAGCCAATAGAATTTAGTCTATCTCTGCTATGAATGATGAAACTGATTTGATAGAGAAACGTTTCACTATTATGGCATCGTGCCGGCGTCCCCACGTGCTCCGCCGGCCGGTGGGAGCGCCGGCTCGCGTGCAGTCGGCCGGAGCCGGCGCCGGCACGGTACCTGCGCGGCGCGCTGCAGCGGGAACAGCCGCTCGTCGACGTGCTCCCAGCGCTCGGCGCACGCCCACAGCCAGGCCGGCGTCCCCACGTGCTCCGCCGGCCGGTGGGAGCGCCGGCTCGCGTGCAGTCGGCCGGAGCCGGCGCCGGCACGGTACCTGCGCGGCGCGCTGCAGCGGGAACAGCCGCTCGTCGACGTGCTCCCAGCGCTCGGCGCACGCCCACAGCCAGGCCGGCGTCACCACGTGCAGCTTCGTCGCCCGGTGAGAGCGCCGGCTCGCGTTCACTTTTGCTGTTCCTGGGGAACGGAGAATATAGAAATAAATTATACTACGTTACTACAAAATATTATGAAGCTTTAGAATCGGATCGTGTAGCATTCGAGCGACACTGCGCTGCTTGTCACTTACTAATGACGCTCCAGCGCCGCACTAATGGGACACCATTGCTCAAGTGTGGCCGTAATTTCTCCAAAATGCGGAAAGGGTCAGGACGTGGTCAGGATGAGATGAAATGGGTCAAGGGAGAAAAAGACGAATCATTTCCGGGAAAACCCCGGAAAGCTAGTTCTAGATAAACGCACGCCCCGCGCTGGGACCCCATTATCATAACAGCTGTACTGTACTTTCAAATCTTTTAACTTAGTTCATACCACTTTACAAAGAACAACAACTCATAGAATAATCGTATTATCTTTAACGTTCATAAGTGCCAAAATACTGGTAAAAATTTAATAAATATTTTAGATTTTGTATCATGAATTACTGAGTCTATTTTATGATGACAGAAATTAATTTTTACCTGCTCTCACAGCCACCAGATGCGTGGTATTCTCCGTGTAGTCCTGCGTGACCTCAGCCCCTAAACTCCTGGCCACTTGATAAGCCCGCGAGGTCTCCAGCCGCTGGTGCGTCGGCACAAGCCCACTGAACACCAAGCTAGCACCGGCCAGCACTTGGCTCTTTACTTCGGGTATGATGCATTTTAGGTCCGGTATCTGATTGCTCTTTGCTTCCTCGTAGAGGTCGTAGAAATGTCTGAAAAGAAAGTTGGTGTTAGGTGTATAAATAAGTTATACATAGATCGTTTCATTCAGGAAGACGTGTCCCACCAATTTTTGGTCGAGGGAAATTATTGTAGTGTGCATGTGCACTCATGGATAATTTAGCGTGTACCGATAACACTCAAACATTAGCGGAAGAATGGTGGGGCGCGTCTTCGTGGATGAAACGATCTATACCTAGTCTTGTAAAAGGACACTTTGTATAAAAAAAAGTTGTATAGCTAAAAAGTTATAAGTTAGTTCATATCTTAGTAGACATATTTTAGCTGATCAGAAAATTTTACAGAGTACACGCCACGCATTTGTTTCAGATCAGAAATTCAATTTAGTTTTTTTATGCATAACAAGGCAGGTATTTGACCACAATCGCACCTGGTGTTAAGTGGGATACAGTCTATGATAGTTTGACAAGAGCTTGTGATTAGATACTCACTTGTGTATTCTTTTAAGTATATCATCTAAATAAATTAAGTAATCGTCCGGATCTTCAACTTCTATCTGCCCATCTGAAGTCTCAACCCACTGAGGCTCTGAACTTTCTTCCATTTTCTCTTCTTCACTGGCCTTTTCTTCTTTTTCTGTTCCCTTTTCACTTTCTTTCTCACTGGTTTCAGGAACAGATTTGTCCTCACTGGTTTCACTATCTTTTGTTTTATCTTTTTCACTATCTTTTTGTTCCGTTTCTTCGTCTAAGGTGGGTAGGTTCGCGGTTGATGCTTGTGCGCCGTTTTTACCACTAGGGAGTTTCGATTTCTCTTCTGTTACGAACGAAAAATATACATTAGGTAGTTATTTTGATACACAATAATATAAGCATAATAGGCTAGACATATTGTAAGAAATATGTTGTCCTCGTATCTGTCTTTCTTGCAAGGCTTAACCAAAGAAAGTCTTCAGCAGGACCATTTATAATCTTTGGATTATTGTGATGTTACACAAAGTTTATAATGTAACCGGTATCTTAATCCAATGAATGTTTTTCTTAAAGAATATTAGTAATTAGCTTTTGCACAAATTACTAATTAATAATCCCGCTATCCCCTCGTCTAGAGAGGGCTCACCACAATAGTCGAGCGGCGGAATCCGCGATCCTCGGGTGACGAGTCGGCCAGTCCGACCCATTCACCGTTCAGTTATCGTGGCTTAATTACATTTCAAACATAGTCTGTTTTTATTTATTTAACCTTTATTCCACATAATAATAAATCTGTAGAGAGGTCAATTCTGTACATGAAATATATTTTCAAAATAACTATCAGGGGGTGATTAGTGATCGATACTGAAGCCAAAAATGCAATCAGTAAAATTTTTGTCTGTCTGTCTGTCCGTCTGTCTGTCTGTCTGTCTGTATGTTCCTTATAGAAACAAAAACTACTCGACGGATTTTAACGAAACTTGGTACAATTATTCTTCGAACTCCTGGGCAGGTTATAGGATACTTAGGAATTCCCGCGGGAACGGGAATTAGCGGCAAAATCCTTTTGTATGAAAAATCTAAACCGCTTCAGTTAGACGCTCGAAATTTGGCATGCAGGTACCTTAGTAAACTTAAAGCTTAGTTACAACAGGATATTGCAAAATTCCCACGGGAACGGGAGTTAGCGGGAAAAACCATTTGTATGAAAAAACAGACAGACAGACAGACAGACAGACAGACAGACAGACAAAAATTTTACTGATTGCATTTTTGGCATCAGTATCGATCACTAATCACCCCCTGATAGTTATTTTGAAAATATATTTCATGTACAGAATTGACCTCTCTACAGATTTATTATAAGTATAGATAAAGTTGTACAAATGGCAAACTAAGTACGAATAGGCATTATCTACCAGTTAAAACCATAGGGCCGGCAAAGAAAGTGAGAAATTACACAATTGAATACCTGGTAAAGGCGGTGGCGCGTTGATATCGCCCGTGGACTGGAAGAAAGAGTAGGGCCGCACGTGTATGAGGTTGGTGGCGTGGCGCCACACGTCTTCTCTGTCGTCAATTATGCAGACCATGTTGTCGCCGCATGGAAACAGCGCTCTGGGGGAAACAGAGACAATGTAGATGAAATTGATGAAAATAACTGCCAAGTTATCCAGGCAAATAGGCCGATAATGATAGTCTGGTACAGTCCGCGACAAATAGATTGACACCCAAAGTGGTCTAAAAGTTGACAACACTTAATTCAACCTTATTTCAATAGGGATGATGACTGGGTAATGAAATCGAAATTCTATTTAATCCGTGAGACAGATAATAAAAAAATTTTGGACGGATATTTTTGAATTTTTTCATATTTGAATAATTACAGTATTATATTGAGTTGAAATGTCGCGTGACTTCACGTTTGAGTAAAAATTCTACTCAAGCGTGACGTTTCACGCCATTTCAACTCGAAGTAGCACTGGTATTATTTAATTACCTATAAAAGAAATTAAAAAATATGAGTCTAATATTTTCTAATTATCAGTCTGACGGACAAATAATTGAAATTTTGTCATCTAGCCTATTGTAACAAAGACGCGTTGCGAACTTTTCGGCTACTTTGGTGTCACTTATTTCCCAAGATCACATTACATTTTGTTGTATCCCAAAAAATTGCTGATGTTGAAGAAATGACACAAAAATATAGTATTGCTTAAAGCCATGATAGATGAACATAATTTCACAATATTCTAATTAGATCATCATTGTTATTTTAGCTGACAGTTAGATTTTACAGCAGTTTTCCATGAATTAACATAAAAAGTAGTTGATTTAAATAAAGCTGTATCATCACATTTTTCATGGTTTACCAGTTAATCATACTCACTTTAAATTAGCAGCTTTTGTTCTAGCATCAAAGCATTCGTCCCTTGACAATATTCTATGAGAAAAGAACTTTTTCTCAGGGTCCAGAAGGTCTGCAACAGCATGAGCATACTGTCTTGCACCGAATGTGCACACATGGAGTTCGTAGTTTTTAGCCGCAGACTCCAGGAATTCCTTTGTACCTGGCCTTAGTCTGGTGTGACACCAGCGACCAGGGCTGCCAGGCCCTCGTAAGAAAAAATGTAGGACACCCTGAAAAAAGATTATATTAATAAAGTAATTACATACATTGATTCTTTAAAAACTTAATAAGTTACACACATAATATAATAATATGTGTTATGGTCTTTATGAGACTGAATGTTGAACTTTAAGCTTATTTAGTTTATAGTCATTGTAAAAATACATGACATGAAATAATTTTCTTTATAGGATTTTTTTTGTTTACCTTCAAGTTTGGTGGAACATTATCATTGGTGGTGTGCACCAACGTCTGATCCAAATCAACAAGCAGCACTAGTTTCTTGTCCTTAAGTAGGCGTTCAGCATCTTCACGGCCAAGTTTTTGAGCCAATTCTTCAGAAACCTGGTAATTTGAAGAGTTACAATATCAAAAGTAAATAAAATTTCTTCTCCTATTAAATCTGCCAGTTCCAGGCCCAAAAAGATCCATAAAACTTAATTTAAATAAATAGTAGAATATTGAATAGTTTAGTAGGCAAATACACTAGCAGATTATTTGGGACATACTTACTTCATAATGGTTTAATTAAAATTAAGTTGTATGCTAAACATATTTTTTATGTGAAAGTGACTTTCAATTAGACTAGAAATTAGAAAGGTAGGTAAATTACGTATAAAATGTATTCTTTTCTTACCTTCAGTTCAGGTATTGAGTGAACCATGGGTACTACAGCCACGTCTCGATTGGGGCCGTCGTCGCTCCGCAGATCTGCCCCACATTCTGCACACATCTCCTTCATCACAGTAGAATGCAGACATGCTTCTAACTCAGCTACTATGGATCTGCAAGAAAGCAAAATTATACCTTCAAACTTTTTTTACAGTCATCTCGGTTGTAAAGGTGTTTTCAATTGCCGAATTTAGATTATAAAAAGTTTTGGCAAGCAAATGAATACCTAAGTTTCTTCAGCAATTTAGCATAGATTTGTTATTGCGCGCCAAAAAATAGGTGATTGATTACACGCGTCAATCAATTTTGCCGCGCAAATTGTAGATGCGTACGTATGACGTAGGTACTATGTGTAGGGTATACAATTAACGATTCTTTACAAAAATGTGGCTCAAATGTAAATAAAATTTAACAGGATTAATTATTTTAAATATTGTACATGCTTTTAATGTGACGTCACTTACCCAGGCTCTGAAATGTCTCCTTCCTTCACCTTGATCGACGATAGGGTACCAGCACGCGCCGCTTTGTATTTTTTCAAATCCGTGTTGCTGCCTGACGAATCATTGTATAAAAATAAAATCTGACCTTGCGAGACAAAAGCACCTTGTTTTACTTTCCACTTTATCACTTTTACAGGCTTTTCGGATGGAACAAAAATAGGTATAGTTTTGTCGGCCATCTTGAACGGATATTGGCCTTTGGTCATTAAATGGCCATCTTTTATTGGCTGGATTCGAGTATTTTTGGCGGTTTGTTAGTATCTACCAATGAGAATTCAAGAATAGGACAATCAATAAGCGCGAAGTAATTTCCAACCGGAAATAAGGTTAGGATAACGTCAAAAATATTGAATGTATTCGGATACACTGTAGATATCGTTATTTATAACATTAAACATAAAATTGCTATTTTTGAGTTTTAATTATATTACTCACAAATAAACAAAATTCAATTAGCGACATTAAATAACTACGATCTCTAAAAACACTGCACATTAATTATCCCAAAATCATGTGATATTGCAAAACTGTCTGTGTCACAGAGGTCTGTGTTTTTAATATAATATCTGTGACACTCGTGACATTACAAGAAGACAGCGGTAGAGTAGTGTTGTTCGTAAGTATTACTATTATTTTATCGATTGCTTGCTTATTTTCTTGGGGCTAATTTTTCAATCATCGAAAAATTTTAATCTGACTGAAGAATAAAATTAGCTTATATTGTCAAAACAGCTGACGTACGCTGTTGAACGACCAATCGTATCGCAGAATCGAGAAGCGTGTCTGGATTGGAGACGTTAAACTTTTTTAAATTACCGTAAAAATCGGGGCTTCGACCCTTTATTCAGATTTTTCATTATAGGTTTAAAATAGTTCAAAAACTGTGTAACTTTTTATTGGTAAAGGGGATATAGTAATTTCGATTTCATAAATCATAAGGAAAAAAGTCCAATGTGACAGTTTTTATGTCGAAAGATGGTCGAAATTCGACATTTGTTTTTTAAAGAATTTCAACGAATTCGATCAAAAAGTGCCACTTATCTAGACCTAAAGCCGGACAAATTACAAAACGTGACATATTTTGTAATTCTGTTCTGAAAATATCTATTCATTCTATTTTTTTTTGTATTAAAGGGTATTTCGCCAAAAATGGTCGATTTTGCCTAATTTCCTTGGCAGGAAATTTTTTTTGTTTTCAACTATTTTTATTTTCCCATTGCATTAAGAAGCAAAAACTAAGCCAATGTATCTAAAAGGGGTGTCATAATTCGTTTTAGAAACAAAGTTATGAGGTCATGAATTTTTGGTAGCCAAGGAAATTATTATAAATATTGTTTTCTCTAAGTTTTCTTCTGTGGTTTGCTTTTTTTTAATTCGACCCATTTTAGTGTACCTTCGCAAGCAAACATACCAATGAATATTATATCATTATAACGTTTTTACACAACTAAGGAAGATAAATGCAGTAGATTGAGTTAAGAGTTAAAAACAAGTTGTGCTGTATCTATTCTGATACCCATTTCTTAAAATGTAAATTTTAAACTTATTCCAATAAAGAAATACTAAAAATTTGACTTCACGCCTAATTAAAAAGGGTCTTTTATAATTTCCTAGGCCATTTTAAGCCACGGAAAACAAGGAAATTAGGGCCAAAGAAATTAGATTTATGCCTAAAAGACACCACAAACAAAAACCTATTTACCCTATCCATTTACTATTTAAATTATGGGTTAACCCCTACAGACACTACATTTGTGTGAATAAACATTAAAATTAATCCATTGTTTAGCTGCAAAAAACCGCCCAAAGAAATTGACTTTTTAGTAAACAAAAACCCAAAGAGGGACCTACTTACGCGATTTGTCGCGAATCTGATCAACGATGTACTGTCCTGCCTTGATGGTCTCTTGGGACGTAATGGCCGAGTTGTAACGGTGCAGTGCGTTACATTCTAAGGTTTTTCGTTTCGTTACTACAATGGTCGAAAAGAAGACCCAGGGAAATTATACTTTTGACCTGGACAAGAACTTAACTTCACTTTATTTTTTTCCTATAAGTATTTGACTTTTAAAGTTTTTATTTTTCGATAGCCAAACGTTTCTCAAATGTAAAGAGAATGCTATTAGAATTAAATTACGCTTCAATTTGTTATAATGTGCCTTCATTTTGGCAAACAACAGTAATGGACAGAACAAGGAAATTAGAAAAACGACTTTTGATTAAGTTTTTCTACGGTTTTATTTGTAGTTTCTGCTATATTATTGTAATAGCAAAAACAAATAAAACCTTTGATGAACTTTCCCATAAAAATAGTTTTATACAGATAGATATAAAAAAACATGTGTTCGCCTGCCTGGACACAGAAAATTTACTGTTTCGGCGAAATACCCTAAACCATTTTCTAATATTGTTATAAATAATCGAAATTCATGGTAGCATTAAACAATCGAATCTACTATGTCGACATTTTTACTTTTGCGATTGCATCACATCACTACAGCAGAGCAGCACAACAAAACAGTTTTTTCGTGGAGTAACGAGTTTGCTTTGATAAAACTACAAATTAATTTGTTTTCGTTTTCTTTTCGATCTGCGTTTAATGTAAAGTGTTTCTAAAGATGACTGAAGAAAATATCACTGTAAGCGACAATTCAGACACCGACGAAGGCGGTGCCCCCGAGCTTAGGGGGTATTTGAGTAAATGGACAAATTACATTCACGGGTGGCAGGATAGATTTATCGTGCTGAAGGATTCGACTTTGTCCTATTACAAAAGCGAATTGGAAAGCAATCTTGGATGCCGAGGTGCATTATGCCTGAAAAAAGCTAAAGTCAAGGTAAGAATGCATAGAAGATGGCTTTGTTTTTGCTGGCTATAAAAAATGTCCTTGTGGTGACTTATTTCCTCTTGCTAACAGATTTAAAACACTTTTTAAATTGGTATTTGTGATTGGCCTTGCATCTCTTTTTATCATAATCAATCATTAAAAGTATTATTTTACAATATTACAAGTTAGTATTTTGTAAAATGTAATGATTATTTTTGTGTTTTAGCCTCATGAATTTGACGACTGTAGATTTGATGTGTCTGTAAATGACTGTGTATGGTATCTACGAGCATCTAATCCTGAAGAGAAGCAGCAGTGGATAGATGTATTGGAATCATTCAAAGTAAGTAAATACAAAGTAATTTCAATTGTTGTTAAACATACTGATATTGCAATAATGTACAATAATATGCTTCAATGATAAACATTGGACCACTGATTGTCTATTTTAAGTAGATTGATTTATCATTTGATTGTTCCCAAGGTCAGTGTCTGTTTCAATACACATCTATCACTAAATATTATGTGTACATGTGATTTTACGTATGATTCAATGTTGTAGTTTGGTTATTAAAAAGTGATAATATTGTATATAGTTATTGGGAAATGATTCAAATTCTAATCTGGATAAGTTTGAAATATGTTTCCTCATCTAATATCAAATTAATGAATGTTAAACAAGCATTTTATATCTATCCAAATATTAAATCAATTAGTAGACATTTTTATGTTATGATTATAATGTGTGCGTACACAAATCCGATAATATCAGTGACTTATCAGCCACAAATGCTTGTATTGTGCCTCTACACAATACTATTGATAAGTACTTATCACTTATCTAATCAAAAAATGTGGCATGATAGTATGCACCTTAGCTTAATCTCAACAAGTTGAGTCATATTGTTGGAACTTTTCAATAGCCATTATAAATCACTTGTACAGTCATTAGGTGATGCACCATCCATTATAAATTTTATCTACCTACCTTGGCATGTGTGACAAGATTTGGATTTAATCTCTTAAATCGTAAATAAATATCAGGATAAATCTTAATTTAAAAAAAAAATGTACTAGTTTAAACCTGTAGTTCTTTTTATTTTTCTACTTTTGGGAATAGTTTAAGCAGGTATATCATATAAAAATAAAGCTATGACTCCTTAACCACAATACAGATTGGTTACTAGACTTAGATTTGATTTGATTGAGATTATTAATTAAGTTTTTTGATTCTAAGTCACATTTTTATAATGTTTTGAATCTGTAAAAGAATTTAAGATGTTTCATAGTGCATATTTAAATTTCAGGTGGAATCAGGGTATGGAACAAGTTCCGACAGCAGCTCCAATGGAGGTGGTCTGCGGAGACACGGTTCTGTTACTTCACTTCAGTCTACAGGATCCCATGGTAATGTCACAGCATAATACTTCAAGAATTTTCAATAAGTATATTGGACATAGTGTGTTCTCCCAGGTTCCTCTTTATTTATACCATCATTTCATTTTAATACTGGAATACATTGTTGAGAAATAATGGTGAGAATTTGTATGGAGCACCCATTATTTCCTTAGGTATTTTAAATTCATATTTCTGAAGAATTAAGGTGTCTTTGATCATAAAACCCCAGCTCCCTTCATGTGGCAACTTAAATGAAACTAGTCTATTAGAAGGTTCGGGAAAAGACTTACGCCCGTATTCACAAACAATGCTTGCTTATGTGAAGCAGCAAATCGAACGCAAAGCGTTGAATAGAGCTCTCTGATTGGTTCGTATGTCACCCTGTGCGTCCACGCGCACTGTGAGACATAGTAATATTTGTTATTTGTATACGGGCGTTAGTTGGACTTCAAATTTCAGCATGCCTAATAGAGTATAATTTATTTCACAGGTCGCACGACACGTCGTCTTACCGAAAAGATAGCCGAGTTGGAGACGTACAATGAGCTGCTTTCAAAACAAGCGGTGCAGTTGCAAAAGTACTTTGAAATGTGCGTCGCTTCGTACCCGAAGATCAACGACGACCCCAGCGAGGCCATAGACGCTGTCAAAGTTGCAGACGGTAAGTCTGTTGGTAAGCACCGAACCTTTTTCATTTTGGGTCATTTTTTGGTTCGCTTTTGCATGCTGCTGGTTATTAAGTGGCAACCAATCAATACCATCAGTGCGTTTTATAAAAGCATAAGACGGATTTCAACGCTTTACCACAGCGCATTGTGAGCAGTTTTTAATAACTTATTTCGAAGTAATGCATCTTAACTAACTGAATATACCCACCTAAAGTAATAATAACGTCAGTCGGTGGTAATTGGCTAATTTATTTAATTACTGAAGTTTTGGTTATAATGATTTAATTTATTTCGTGTTTCCTGTTTCTGTGAAGTATAAATGAAGACTTCTTTCAATTTAACCAGATTATGTACACTACATCATGCAAATGCTTTATTTTATTGTGTATTCACAAGATATAGCTCTATTATACTGATAGATAAGAGTTATGGATGTGCCAAAACAGCAATGTTGTTATGACTTGCAAACTTTGTCTTCACATATGAAAAATACCTTTCTTTTTGTGCGTGCAGTACTTTAAATTTACACTAGGTGGCGCTACTAATATTCTTGCGCTATATTTTACGTCACTAATTTATAACTGCATTCAGCTTTTATGTGAATCCAGATTCCCAAAAAAGTCATAAGCGCGTCATATCATCTTTTTGTGTTACGTAGAAATAGAAATAGCCCTTGTTGCTTTAATTTTCCGCTCAGTCCACACGTCCGAATTTCACACCTTAAATCGCTATCATGTAGTTTTCCGTCAAAAAACCTATTTCTCATATTCAATTTATTATTTTGTCCATCAGGAACAGACCTAAGCCTCTACACTGGCGAAGTCCGAGCCACTAGCGCGTCATTCCGTGCCACGTGCGGCGCAACGCTCGCCACGCTTCAGCACTGCGCGGATCTGCTAAGGCGGCGTGAAAAGCAAGCGAGACAGGCTGAAGAGCTGTACATGTGAGTAGCACTAAGCTTCACATTGTTACAATGACGCGCTTATGGCCCACGAGCGCGTCATTGTGACATGTGGCGCAACGCTCCAACACTGCGCGGACCTGCTGCAGCGGCGCGAGATGCAAGCGATTCAGCTTGAGGAGCTGTACATGTGAGTAGTACAACACTCACACTGTCACAATGACGCGCTTATGGCCCACGAGCGCGTCATTTTGACATGCAGCGCAATGCTCCAGCACTGCGCGGACCTGCTGCAGCGGCGCGAGATGCAAGCCATTCAGGTTGAGGAGCTGTACATGCGAGTAGTACAAGCTTCCACACTGACAAGTCGACTGTCACAATGACGCGCTAATGGCCTACAACTGCGTTATTGTGACGTGCGGCACATCTCTTGCCACCTTGACAACTAACTAGCCAAAGGTATAGGTAAAATCGAAATAAAAGAAAAATGTAAAAAATAAATAATACACAGATAAAAATATAAAATGTTGGTTACCATTTGGCGTCTTCATAACCATATTGAAAGGAGTGCAACTGCAAAATAAAGTGAAGTACCACTGTAGGCCACCACCCTTATCACAACTGTTGGGGTGCAGATCTACGCAGTAGACTGATATGACGAAGTAAAACTCCCTATGTCCACTTCAAAAGAATTTTTCATTTACTAAAACAACTCAATAACTTTGCATAGTTAAAATAACCGATAGACATCATAAAATGCTCCTAATAATACAGCCAGGAACACATAATCCCACTACATGTCAGTAATCTTTACTACCGCCCTATAATTAACCTCATGCCCCGAATAAAAAATATACCGAGTATACAGAAACAGGGTTGATTACGGTAATCGACCTTTGGACAATATAGTTGGGGCAAATGTTTGTTGAAGGTACACCGGAGCGTATCGAGGGTAGTTTGATGACATAATGCTAAAGAATTAGACTTATAAAAGACAGTTTCAATAGTAATTAATATCTTTTGATGAATTAAAATATTTATTCTATTGATCTGCTACGTCTCGAAACTTTAAACGTTTATGCGACTTTATTGAATCGAAATCTATTATGCACTGCCTGGCTAGAGGAATTGGACATAGTAAGGAATAGGATAAGTTTTAAATACACTGGTCATCACAAAAATCGGTCCACCTACGTTTTACAGGAAAATTCGTTTCTACTGACACAATCATGGTACCCCAACAATATTGGTGTTATTTGAAAGCCAAATAAATATCCTTTAAGAAAAACACATTTAATTTCCTAATAAACGATTAACATATACAATAAATGTGACTTGAAAAACTTGAAAAAAGACCTCACTTTGGGCTCACCTCTGGGATCAATTAGACCAATTTTTATGGTTATAAAACCAAATAATGATCTCAAGTGTCCTCTTTAACAGATGGATAGCGATTAATCCCAACTTAACAGTTTTAAAGTCTTAAAAAATGGCTATAGCGTAACTACCTATTTTTTGAAGAAGTGACTCTGGATTCTTCTACAGACACATTTTTGGGGTAAAAACCTTTCCTTTAATGAAATGAAGTTTAGAACTAGGCTTTTAAATGGTAATATAGGTAGTATAGTAATATTGGTGGGAAGTGGGGATGCATATGTTTGAAAGTGCTTGTCGCGGGTGGGTCGATTTTTATGATTACCAGTGTAATTATGAATATTTTTGAGAATATTTTTTATTTATTTATTTTTTTACAGGGCATTGAAGAATCAGCTGACAGAAGCAAGATTGGCTTCAAAACCAGGACCTGACCATGAGGTAAGTTAATTTTAATTCAAAACCTTAATTTTAATACAATTGGACTGGACATATTTAAATACTACGAGTAAACAATGCATATTTCGTCGGTACAGTCGCCAACATATCAGATAAAATTTTTGTTTAAAAATGGTGCTTATTACGACTACATAAGAAGCTACAATGTTCAGCTTGATATCCCGTTGTCCTGTACTGTTTTGATAAAGTCTAAAAATAGTTATGACATTCATGATAAACGAGTTACGGTTTTTCCCCTAACTGACAAATCTCAGTATGTTGTATGTGTGCGGATACAATGTTAAATGCTAGGTTTTTTGTCGGTTTGTGATAATTATGTCGTTAATTTATCTTTCCTAAATATATCATGACATTCTTAAACTAACCCCATAGCTGATATATTTTTTGCATGAGCGTTGAAATGCGACTTCTCATTTTAAACTAGCGTTCAAAATGCGTGTAATTATTTATTTAAATAAAATACTTGTAATCGTATGTTTAAGTGGCGCCCTCTGTGCGCAAAGTGGCGGATTTACTAGTTTGTGTTTGATGTAAAAATGTTGTCTGATGTCCTGACAGCACTTTAGAAGAAAGAAAATGTTTATTCAGTATCATTTACTGACCTTTGATTAGTTTAATAGTTGAGGTTGGTTCATTGGGGCTATCGTACGAATAAATTAATACTAAACGCATTGTTTTAACGCAATATTAATCAAAATAGGTCAGTGTGTGTGTCAGACAAACAACTCTTGAGGCTGACTGAGACAATATTCCAGAAATAAACATTACACGATCCTGAAGTACCAATCAAACGATTAAAATTATACACACTTTTTGCATCGTTTAACAAAAGTTAATGCTTTCTGTGTATGTAACAGTAATAGTATGCTTGCATTGTACTAATTGTAAATGTTACTGTATTTTTGCAGAACACTTTCTCCTTTTTTTAAGAAATTATATGGAACCAAATTTGTGTATTTTTTTTAACCGCCTTCAACAAAAGGAGGAGGTTCTCATCTAATTTCGGATGGTTTTAGTCGAATTTGGTACTTCTGTGTATTGACATTACACCCTGTAAATAAGGAATAGTTTTGAGATTGAAAATTCTTTCCGAACCAATATTACAACTTTCATTATTTTATGATGTTGTAATTTTATGTCTGTTGTATTTAATATATTTTATTAGGTATATTCAGCATAGTTTATACCCAAATATTTTTGCTTATACCACATTTGCTAGTAAAAATGAAAAAATACTCTTGACGTTAAGTGTAAACTCTATTCTCTTTTAGATACAGTCTGCTAAACAGGGATATGTTTACAGATTTGACAAATTCGAACTTTATTACAAGCAAAATAAGATCCAACATTTCTGTTGCAGCTGTTGCTTTATTTGTGGTCATATACAATTCTCTACAAAGTTTATATTAACGTGTAAGCGCAGTGCGTTCATTTCGCGTATAGTTTCGAACATTTCAGTGGTTGCCTTTAGTCTTATGCACTTGCAAATAAAGTCCACAATCAACATAATTGTATCACCTAGCCAGCGGTTCTCCTCGCCCAATCGTTTAGAAGCTTCGCGACCGCGCCTTTCGGCGGTTGTGTGATCCGCGTTATTTTTTTGTTTATTTTCTTTCGCGCCATTTCATAAACAAATTAATCTATTTTAGTGATTTTATCAGTGACCTCGGTGCTATCCTATCAGACTGTGGTTATGTTTAGTGCACGTTTAGTTCTCTAAATACCAGGCACAATGAAGTTTAAGATTTTCAAGAAAAGCATTCGTCAGGTATGCGTGTTGATTCAGATGTTTTGTTATTGCGTGAAATTTTTTTTTCAGTGAATGTGAATGGTTTTAATTGGGTTTTTGTGATTATATTGGCATTTTGTGAAGTTTTAGTTAACTTTGCTGGTAAATTACATTTTTTATTTAATATTTATTGACTCCTGGATTAGACACGAGTGAGGTGAAGGCATTTATGTAAAGTAAATAATGTGGGTATTTTTAAACCTACTTAAACTGGGTATTTATTAAATCAGCCTTCGAAATCAATAATAATAACCAATAAATATTGTACATATTTCCCAATTGCATTTGATTTCCCAAAAATTTCTGACAATGAAAAACTAAATATTGTTATCGTTACTCTTATTGAAGCTGAAGTGTCTTAAATAGTAAAGCAAGTTCAAATATTTCAAATACAAGGAAATTAAACAAATGTTATATTCCCTCTTCCTGTTGAAACAGTTAAAATATAAATTCAATAAAACGAATAATTTAATTATCGTATGATACATTTTCATGATTGGAATGAGTCATACAATACATACGAGGGCGGCACTGAAAATTTCGGGAATCAAGGAAGTGAAACAACGTTACTATTTAAAAATGTATTTATTGCTTTTAAAGTATTCACCGCGAACATTGACACATTTTTCCATACACGAAACCACTCATTGAAGCAACCATTGCATTCGGAAGTTTGGGTCTCCAAAATGGCCGTTTTGTAGGCTTCCACAGCTTCTTCAGGTGATGAAAATCTCTGACCACGCAATTTATTCTTAATTTTAGGGAATGTATAGAAATCATTAGGGCTTAGGTCGGGGCTGTACGGCGGATGGACTAATAATTCAATGTTTTCTTGCTCTAAAAACTCTTTTGTTCAGTGCGCGGTGTGAGAACTCGCATTGTCGTGATGGAGGATGATGCGGCGGTTGCAGTTCTCTTTACGGAGTTCAGAAACGACCTGTGGCAAACAAATGCTAGCATACTAATCTGCATTAACCGTTCTTTGTCCCCCAAGAGGAATAGTCGCAACATGGCCGGTTTTGGAGACAAACGTGGCCACCATTTTTTTTGCAACACTCCGTGAACGAACAATTTTTGTTGGCTTTAATTCATTTTCGAACACCCAAACTCGTGACTGGTTTTTTGTTTCGGGTTCGTACGCGTATATCCATGATTCGTCACCTGATACGATGTTGTATACAGCATTTGAGGATCCTGCATGTAATCTCCCGAGAGTTCTGACGCACCAAGTAACGCGAGCCGCTTTTTGCTCTTCACAGAGCGAATGCGGTATCCATCGGGAAAACAACTTTTTTACACCTAATTGTTCATGCAAGATTATTTGTATTTGACTCATGCCAATGTCTAAAGTTGCCTGAATTTCGCGGTATATCACATGTCGATCTTCTTCAATCAGCTTACGCACAGCATCAACGTTTTCTTAGGTGACTGCAGTTTTTGGACGACCTTGACGGGGATCATCACTGAGCTTGACACGTCCACGTTGAAATTCAGGAAACCAGCGATAAATTGTGGTTTTGGATGGGGCTTCATTACCAAATGCAGAAATCATCCGGTCAACACACTGTTTTTGTGTTAAACCACTTCAAAAGTCATAATAAATCATCGCTCTTGAATTTTCTCGAGTCAATTCCATTTTCTCAACGACTAAACAAGTTTGACAAGACCTTGTGATACGACCGAGAATCTTTTTTTAAATAAATAAATGGTATACGATTTTTAAAACCCTGGAGTTTGCAATTAAATAGATTTTAATATGACTGGAACAGTGGAACTATTCCATTCCCGATACTTTTAGTGCAGCCCTCGTACATAGTATGTATGTGTCAGACGTGTTTGAAACTTTATACGCATACATATTTATTATGTATACTGGCAACAAATAAAAAATAAATGACTATTCAAAACAAATAATAGGCAAATGAGTAACGTAAAAATTAGGGACTGATACTGATAAAGTGCTACTAAATGCAAATTGCAAACCCATATGAATGTATTGTATGTGATAACGATAAAAAAGTACATAGGTATTCGTCACCAAATTTCAATGAATTACAGGTTTTTAAAATACCGGTATAAAGAATGAACTTTTGGTAAATTCTGTTTACAATTTTGAAAGTAGGTAGGCTAGTACACAAAATTAAATGTGGGGAGATTTTGCTAATACTAAGTTTTATGAAGGTAAAGTAATACAGGGTCACTTTGCAAAGTTTTGCCAAATTTTTAGGGGCGTCCCAGAATCAGTAAAATAATCGATTTACGAAAAAAAGAATGTATTTTTAATGATAAATGGATATTGGGCATTAAAAGTCAATCAAACTGATTTTGTGTAGGTTAATGTATCTAATAAAAATTGCTTAAATGTGTCATAGTTTATAATGAAGAAAGGGAAGAAAGATGACACGAAACCCTCATTGCATGTGACTTACTTGCACTTGACCGATTTTTTTAATCGAAGCTCGAATAACCACGAGATAGTGTGCGTATGCATTACAGCCGGTTTCTGCAATGTCGCGTCGATTTCCACCTGACGTCTGACCCACTTGCCGTACCGAGAAATGCTGGACGACTCGAGATATATTATGGGAGAAATTCACGGTCATGCACATTGAGGTCGATCAATACATTCAGGTTGTAAAAAAACCCACCTATCCATTAGGGTTTTTGAGGGATCTCCTTACAAAAATCTTAACAGATGGGTCAATCAGAAATGAGAAGGGAATATTTTCAGTGAAAAGGATTTCAGTACTGGAATCACCCTTTTTGGATCGTACCTATAGATTTTTTACTAACTTTTTAATTACAGGAGCATAGTACTAAATCCTGAAGTTTTCGGCTATGTAAGAAATAAGAATAACAACATACCTATTAGATACAAAAATTATGACAATGACGAAACGATTTACACATTGACTGTTTGTTTAAAATGATAATGTAACATAAATAGTACGAGTTGTTTACGCTAAAGATACGCTCCTATCACGCGACTTGCCAGCTTCCTTCAACTATAACTAGTATAAACTTTCTTTCTAGAAAGTCCCAAGATATGCAATAAGTTAACAGCAATCCAACAACTTCTATAGACGGTAAAACGTTTAATTAATATCAATTTGCTTCTGCCAGGTGTTTTTATTCTCACTTCTGTTTCACAATACTTTTGATTGTCTGTTTGTATAGCATTATAGCAATCAAT